ACATAGGATAAAAATTGAAACCTATAAACCAATCTCACTATTAAGTTGCTAAAATTATAAATAAATCTTAGTAAATTAAATGCAGTACCATAGCAAAATACCATATCCTGATTGCCAACAATTACTCTTGACATGGTTCACACAGTAAACATAATCTCATTAGTAATGCTTCTCATTATTGTAATGGTTCTTAAAGAAGGACAGTAAATAGAGGGAGGAAATGGGTAGTTCAGAAAAAGGAATGTGCTTGTTCTGTCAGTGCCCGAGAGCAGCCATCGCCCCATGGGCCCCAGGTATTAAAGATTTAAAAGTGATTCTGTTTTCCTCTCTGTTCTTTTATGAATTTTGTAAATGCTTTGAAATACACATATTTCATTTATAACTCTAAAAATTAATTAGAAATACTCAGAAGGAAAACAAAAAAGCAAACAAACAAAAACCAGCCACAGCATCAACAAAAACTTCCTAAGTGTTCCTGTGTGGGGATGGGACTGGTAGTCTTTAAAATATGAAACAACCAAGTTTGGTCTCATCTCCTGTTCCCATTGACATTTCTGCTCAGACATGCGCATTGTTCATTGCTCTGAGAACCTTTATACTGTGTTCAAATTAGTACCATCTGTCCCCCAAGTTTAATCTGCTGGCCAGTGTTCTCTAAAATTTTTTGAAAGGTGAGACCTGATGTCTTATTCTAAAACCACCTCAGACTGAGCCAATCCAATCACCACAAACTTTAGGCAGTTTATCAGTGTTCCCCTTGACTTGGAGCAGTATTGGCCAAAGTTAAGGTAATTTAGACATCACAAATAAAGATTTCAGTTATTACTCTAAGGTTCTTCTTCATTATGGAAAGATCACATACGAGAAAGTGATTCACAGTTTTAGCCAATGCAAATTGGAATTTGTCTAAAATTGAGTGTCTTTAAACCAAATGACTGTGTCAAGAACTATCTATAAAAAACTCAATTTAATAAAGCATAGAGTAAGAATTTCACTGAGTACAGTGACATATAATGTATATAATCATATACATACACACATAATGTGTGTGTTAGGGGCTGAACTGTGTCTCTCCACAATTTATATGTTGAAGTTCTACCCTCTAGCACCTCAGAATGTGACTGTATTGGGTGACAAGGCCTTAAAAGGTGTAATTAAGTTAAAAAGAGGCCATTAGGATGGGCCCTAATCCAATATGGCTGGTGTCCTTATAAGAAAAGGAAATGTGGACACAGACACATGGAGGAAAAACCATGTGAACACACAAGAAGAAGTTGGCCATTGACAAGCCAAGAAGAAAGTCTTCAGGAGAAACTAATCCACCTAATTTCAGATTTCTAGTTTCCAGAACTCAGAACATTAATTTCTGTCGTTTAAGCCTCTCAGTCTATGATACTTGTTATGGCTCCTAGCAAACTACTACAAGGGGTGTGTGTATGACTTGAAATGTACTTTTTACTCATGTCACATAATATGTCATTTCATATATTATGAAGTCTAACATCCTCCCAAAGATCCTTGCAAATTCCTAGGGACTAGTGTCATTCTAGCTTCAACCTTCTGCCCCTCCTGAATTATTTCAGTTCAGAAACCATTTCACAATTCCTACCTTTTGTGATAACTGTCCTGTGCTAACTTAGGGTGGACCTCAAGTCTTTCCCTTAATTTCCAACAAATAAGATAAAATAAAAATAAAGTGCTAACAATAGTAAAAAACAAAACAAAAATAAAAATTCATCTTCATGCAAAGTAACTGTGAATGTGGCCAACTTTACATCCCAGCAATGCAAAAATCTTCAAATTGAGCATTAGCTATCTCTGCTCTAAAATCATCCCTTAGCCATTGTCACAAGTGAGGGATCTCCTCTTCTTCCCTGCCTACCTTTCCTCCTTCTCTGGCTCCTCTCTCCTATTCCTTCCCTGCTGACTCCTTCCTTCCCTCCCTATTTCCCACCCTATATACCCTGATGATCTTCCCTACTCTTTTCTTTTCCCTTCCTCTGTCCCCAACAGTTGGGCTATCACTTTATGTGAGTTTAGCTCCTGTTCTCAGGATCTCTTTTCTGCCTTAAATAGCTAATCAAACTATTTTCAAACAGAGGTAGTTCGCTTTTTCAGAGAAATCCTGGAGCCAGCAGTTAAAGTTTTACAGTTTCATTCTGGCTACTTTAATTTAGCCAAGTTACTTAAAAGAGTGAGGTAATTTTTCAAGTTGTTTTTTCACCCTGATTCAAAAATAATTTAACATAAACCATTTAATATCATCTAATACTAATACATTACTCCTACTATATGACCTCTCAGTGGACTCAAATCTAAAATCTCCATTAAACCTCTTGAAAATTCTTTTTAAACTTTGCAGACTCATTGGAATTTTGACCACACATATGAACTTTGAACTTTATTTTTTTAAGCAGTTAAATCTTGCATTCAGCAAATGATTTAAACTATAATTTCAAATTGGAAGGTTTGAAAACTAAGAAACTTGTACATGTGCCACTTTCTACAAGGGGCATAGGAAAGAAGGCTCAGTTTTGTCTTTACTCAAAAGACCTTTGCACACAAGTATTATGTGTTGATGTAGACTGCCTAGAAGAAGAATGTCAGTTTATGGTTTCAGGAAGAAAATGAAAATAACTTCTGGTTTAAAATGACTTCTCAGGAAACAGGCTGCTACTGCCACCTGGGGGAGGTTCTTTCTGCTTCATTCAAGAAAGCCAAATGTGCTTGTCAGATGAATGAATTCAGTTCGTGTTTTCCTTGTCATATTTGCACAGGAAGAAGTCTTTTTAACTTTCTGCCCATGAAATCATAAGGCATTCCAGATGTCTCCAAGATTCCTTCACACAGAATACAATTTCACAGACCTTTTCAGGAGTGCAGGAGAAGATGAAACAGACTATAACCATATGAAGGTTTTTACATCTTACACACAGGGAAGTATTTTGGAAAAAGTATGGCTTATATACTAAGAAGTAGAGAAAAAATAAATTTAAGCTTTCACTAACAAAATAAAGCCCCTATTTTAATCAAAATTTATTTGGCTTCAGGTTATAGTTAATTGTACTTATTGAATATCATTAATCGATAAGAAAACTGCATGCACTGATATAATTATCCTAGTGATTGCATCCGTTTGGATAAAATAATAAATTTCAATGATATGGACATAGCCGAGAGAGTTTTCTTAAAGAATTTTTGAATTTATGAACTTACGACTATTATGAAGTCAGTATCTTTTTATTTCAAATATATTACATATCTATTTATTGAAATTTTTAAAAAAGTAAAAATATGGTATTCATCAATTACCATGGAAAAAATATAACCATTGCTTTTGAATGCCTAGTTTTTGTTTGACATGAATATTGCATTACTTCATGCTAGATAAATTGTTAATACTAGCAATTCCTAAAGAAAATAATTTAATCCTGGCTAAAGAAGTTTCAGGAAGTACCTATTGAGATTACAGGTTTGTCAGGTGACATGAAAAAGTCAGTGCTGATTAGAAAAAGACAACTGACCATTCATAGAGAGGTTATGGTAACAGATTAACTAAATAGAATACATACAGTATCAGTCCCAGAGTGGTACAATAACAACGTTAAAAGGCTAAAGTTCATGCCAAAGAACACCTGTACCAGCTTGAGGGAAGTCTTTATGGAAAGCACTTTTAGCACTGGAAAAGGTATGTGACATACAGCAACTGGGTTGGGATTCCATAATTAATTCTTTTCTTTTGAAAAATCACGTATCTGGTTCAGGAGTTAAAAAAAAACCTGAGTGATTAAATTGCAGTCAACAGCTGAATGAGGTGGCTGAGCTGGGGTCACCTTGAGGGATCCAAGAAATGAGTATTTTTTGTATGAGGGTCTGAGATTCCTTCAAGACATTCACATTAGTGTCTGCATAGACTGGGGTCAGGGGCATTAGAGGACAAGAATGGCCAGAGGTACCTTCCATATATATAAAATGTAGAAACTCTATAATAGAAATATAAGTTATAAGCAAAAATAATAAATATACAATAGGAAATGTCTTTATTTCTGAGTCAGTTTCTGGGCACTTTCAGTACTTGGCCAGAAGTATTGCCTTATTGATCTAATGAAAATGAAAGATGACAATATAATAATATAAGGGGTTTATGTTCTGCACGAAAGATTAATTGTAATTAAGGGGTGTTATAAATGGCATAGGTCTCTGAAGGTTCTCCTCCCTCATAGCTGAGCTGCACAATGTATTGGACTTGACTTGACTTTATTAAGGAACCAATACTTTTTACTATGGTAGGCCATGGAAATGATTTACTATTCCATAACAGAAATTACAAGCAGTTCTCATTTTTATTAGAATGTTGCCTGGTTGTAAAAAAAAAAAAAAAAAAAAAAAACCCAAAAAAACAAAGAAAAAACATTAAACAGAAACAGAAGTCTTCTTTAACATTATTCATGTTTCATAGGAGAGAAGCATTCAGGAAGTCAGGAAAGGTGATTAGTTCACAGATGCCACTTGTATATATAAGCAATGGGAAGGTGGGAAGGTGGGAAGGTGGGAAGGTGGGGACATTGTTTAAAAGGCAAGAAGGGCTGTTTCTTCCAGTGTTCCTACATCTCCTCCAAGAATGAGTGGTTTTCAAATACTGCCTCTAGCTTTGAACTTAGGGACTTGAACACCCATTTCTAAACCAACTCACCTACCACACTGAGGAGCTAATATGGTTTACACTATCTTTATGTAAATTTTTTCTCTCATTGTCCTGTGATTCTTGCTTCTCCCTCCCTTCCTTATCTGTATTTGACTTCCCTCTCCTCTCCCATTGCAAACTACTAATATTTCAATCTTCCCTCCTCACTGGGGTGTGTCCAGTTTTGTGAATCACTCCTCCACCCTCTAGTTACTATGAATGAGGGGAAAGCAAATTCAAGGTGATACCTGGAGTGCTCCAGGCCAGGTAAGAAGCTCTACAGCGGGTAAGCATAGAAGTCTACCTGCTTTTGCTGAGCTATTGTTTATCCACAGCCATGACAGACTCCAACAAGATGACCATCAACTTGGCCCTCTTTGGCATGACTCAGAGTGGGAAAAGTTCTGCTGGAAACATTCTTCTGGGGAGCACTGACTTCCACAGCGCCTTTGCTCCATGTTCTGTGACCAAAGATTGTACTCTGGGCCGCAGTTGTCACCTCCGTGGCTTCATGCGTCGAGGGGGCCAAGAGATAACCCTGCAGGTACAGGTGTTAGACACTCCAGGTTATCCTCACAGCAAGCTGAGCAAGAAGCATGTGAAACAAGAGGTTAAGGAGGCCCTGAAACATCACTTTGGGCAAGAGGGTCTCCATCTTGCACTGCTGGTCCAGAGAGCAGACATGCCTTTCTGCGAACAGGGGCCATCTTCCCCAGTCCAGATGATCCAGGTAATGCAAAGAGACAATTACACTAATGCCATCAGTCCCATTTGAAGGACATTATCCTAATAGAAAAGAACTATAAAAACTTTTTAAAAGAGGCACTTTTTTCTCTCTCTTGAGCATGCCCACACCTTTCCCAATGCTCTTCTCTCTTAAGGGCAAGCGTTCTCTCTCTCTCTCTCTCTCTCTCTCTCTCTCTCTCTCTCTCTCATGCCCATGCCTTTCCCCCCTCTTCTTACCCCAGGCACCAGGCACCTTCTCTCTGCCTTTCTTTTTCCTAAGCTCCAAGGGCCCTTCTTTTGCCTCTGTAAGTCATTTCCTGAGCCCACAAGACCCAGTTGGTTCACCTTTTCTACCTCTGTGACTTCCTAAATAAACTTTATCTTATAATTTAGGGGCGGGGGGGGGTAAACACTGTTTAAAGTCATTTAAAGCAAGTTACAAACAAGTCATTTAAAACAACTGCTTGTCACATCAAGATACTCAGTAAAAATTACTTGACTTTTTCACAGTATTTTTACAATTTTCTTTAGAAGAATTTAGTCAGTCATTTTACAACTGGGTCATTGAAAAAAAAAGAGATATTAAGCTTTAGAGGTTTACTAAATCTCAAATCCGTAAAAACTATAAACTTGAATAAGTTTGTAATTATGGCTCCTAGACTATCTATTGGGATCAGAATCGACTGGGTTCCCTGTTATAAGTCCAGATTCCTCCAAGCTCACTGAAACAGAATCTCAAAAGTAGAGCCTACATATATGCACATACATAAACTTTCCATATATTTCTTAAAAGGAATCAAGTTTCAGAACCACCGAACTAAAATACTGAGTTGCATCCATATAACATCAAGAGGATAATCTCTTATAGTACACCAACAAATGGGTACTCATTCACTCATTCAGTCACTGAACACCGCATTGAATACCTGCACAGAGCTTAATGATTGGTGAAAAATACATGAACTTTGCCATCAAAAAGCTTAGAGTTTGGAAAAGAAAAATAGATAAACAAATATAAGACAATGCATTAAGTGCTTCAGTAGTATAATGTCTGACTAGGGGGAAAGGAGACTCCACTGACATATATCATGATAAACATTCAGGAGAGATCTATGCTTTATTTATGGGAAAGAAAAGTCAGGAATTTCTGGTGATTTGCTGGACTCATAATCTGTAGGGTCAGTCAGAAATTGCTCCATTCTAGCCTTGAGAAGACCACACTGACCTCAGGGTGAACAAAAATGACACGTGCCACCTTTGCCTTGTGGTCCATCCTTGTTGTTTGTTCATTTGTTGTAAGTTGCTAAGTAGGAGGCTTAGTCAGCCAGTTTAGCAGAGGAGCTGGGGAGAGGGGAGAAGGGAGAGGCTCTGGACACAGCTCGGAGCTGGAGGGAGTAATACTTGCATATGGTGTGTATGCAAGTATTACGAGCAAGAGCCACATAGGACCACCAGTTCCTGAGACCTGCTCATTGAGCTGCTCCATTCTATTCAATTTCTTTTTTTTTAAATTTTTTAATTTTTTTATCATTCAAATACATTTGTCTCCACCTTCCCACCACCACTTTCCCCCACCCCCTCCCCCGCCTCCCTCCCTCAATCCTTTCCCACTTTGGCTTTGTCCATGGGTCCTTTATGCATGTTCCTTGACTTGACCTTTCCTGTCCCTTTTCCCGCCCTTCCCTTCCCTCTTGATTATGTTGGTTTCTTTTTTTCTTTCAATGTTGCTGGTTATAGTTTCCTTGCTTGTTTTGTTGGTTAGGTTCCACTTATAGGTGAGATCATATGGTATTTGTCTTTCGCCCCCTGGCTTATTTCACTTAGCAAAATGCTCTCCAGTTCCATCCATGCTGTCGTAAAGGGTAGTAGCTTTTTCTTTCATTCCATTCAATTTCTTGATTCTCTAGTCTGGGCCCTCCCAAATTTAACTGCTGGACTTGACTATTTTTACTACGTAGCTTTGTAAAGTCACTAAGCTCAGAGATATCTCTACTAGAAGCTCCATAAGTAAAATACATGGAGAATAGAGAGCAGATATATTTGATTCAGGAAAAATTTGTATAAACGCTACACTTGGTCCATTTCTGATCATGCTGATATTGGATCTGTTACACTTAGGATAGTATACTGCTTTAAAGAAAGACCTTTTCCCTTTAACTAGTAAAGGCAGAAGATTGTTTTCAATTGCAGACATACGTTTTATTTTTCAGTAACTGTACATGTTTCTAAAAATAAAAAAAAATCCATATGTGTAATCACAAGAAACTAGTGGAAAAAATTAGGGTGACGAGTATAAAAAAAAAATCCTCATCATTCAACTCCTGAAAAACCAAGGACATGCTGTACAAAAGCAAAGAAAAAGAGAAGATGATTGCAATTAGGAAACAATGTGAAATCCAAGAAAGCCCATAAACCTCTCCTAAATCCTGCATGTAAAACAACATTTCTGGTGAGAAATCAAGTGGCAGGGGGAAACCTGCAGCTTTCCATCAGTGTAATTTTTAAACAGTTTTTAAAGTTCATTTAAAGCTACTATTAAATAAGCATTTAGCTTAAGCTATAGGTGGATATAATTCAGTAAATTCAGTAAATGCATAAACAAATATTTCTCAAAACTAACCTGACTCTCTCCATATGTCTCCAAATTTTTCTCTATGCTGGTCCTATGCTGAGCCAAAAAGGGTATTTAAAAGACATACTGCGCATTTTGAAAATAGATTTTTCCAGTTTAGAATATAGGACAATATTGCAATCCCCTAATTTTTTTAATAGAAGTAAATTTGTTTCATACATGTCTCTGATCATTTTAAATGGTGTCTGGCATACAGCCTCATCTTATGGCTGCCTTCCTCGTGTTGGTGTCCAATTCAGGAGTTGAAGGCAGAAAGGACATGGGCTAGGGCCAAACTCAGATCCATAATAGTTTTTTCGAGAATAAATAAGTTCTCTCCCAGGAGAACTCGGCGGCCAAGACTTTGTAATCCCGAGGGGCCTATGAGCCCTGAGAGGCCCTGCAGCCCTATTTTGGGCTTCCACCGTGATCTTCCGTTGAAGGTCGCCTAAACACAAGCTGGCTGTTTATGACCTCCTTCCGGAAGGTGCCTCGCTCGCATCCTGGTGGCAGCCATCTGGATGTACTCACAGATTGGGAGCAGCTGCAGAACGTCTGAATATTCAGCAGGACCAGCAGCTGTTAGGAAGGAGCAAGGAGTTGTTAAGGTCCTCTTGTTGCAGACACGCCCTGGATTTCTTTTTCCGGGCTGATGCAAAATGGGGATAGAACATCTGCCCTCACCCTTTTCCTTTCCCCGTTTCTGGGGCATGGATGCCTGCCATGGAAGGAGTCTGTGAGGCCCATGCCAGAGAGTGACCTCTTCTTTCCTGCACCTCCCTGTTGTCTCTTTAAATATCTCAATTTGTGCTCCAATAGTTTACAGATGCTTTATAGGTTCCCAGCTGTGACAACTGAACTATTTCCCTGAATGATCCTTTTTTCTTTATTAATGTTAGGCCTTTAATAATTTACAGTAAAATGGTAGAGATGTCCGTGAGTCATCCCCCCAAAAATTGTGGAGAGAATGATTCATTTTAATATTATCTGAATGTTATTTGAATATTTAAACAAATCCACAAATAATGGATCAGAGCACATATAATAAAGTCGCCTTAAGGAAAGTGCTAGCATGCAGCCAAACACTAAGAATTGAATCCATGAAATGACTACAACCATGTTCTTTACACTATCATGGTATCATGCACTATTACTGTAAACACTCAGGTTTTAAACATTTATTTTTGATTTAGAGTAAACTTGACTGTTGATGTTATAGGTGGATATGTATGTATATAAAAGGCTCAAAAAGGCCAATGTGAGGAGTGAAAATACAAAGATCATCAGCTTAGTTGTTTGATAGAATTCAGTTAAAATAAGCCTTGTTATAAGTCTGGGTATATGACTATAATTGTTACTAAGACTTTCTTGGCTTCTGTTCCTCACTTATAAGATGGAGATAATTTTACCTATGTTAAAGAGTTCTGAAGGTTATATTTAACTATTATAACGTGCTTGGCATTGTGCCTGACTTACAGTATGTTCACAGAAAATTACTATTACTGTTATTGTTTTTATTGTTATCCTCACTACTCAGGTTGTGATGGGTACCATTCAAGTGAACTACCAGATATGGACAACATATTTTAGAGGTTAAGAGAGTGGGTTCTGGAGTAAGTTATACCTGTGTTCAAGTTCCTACTTAGTTGTTTACCTTGTCTAAATGTAACCAACTTTAGGCAAGAACTTATCTAAATGTCAATCTCTTCGTTGATAAATTTGGAAAGATGATAGTGTCTACTGCCTCACTTAAAGATTAATGTCATATTTACGCAACAGTAAATTAACTCAGGCACTGGCGCATAATGGCTATGTTCATTATGATTTTATTGTTGGAATTTGTCTTATCCTAAAATGAGGACATTTGTCTTATCCTAAAATGAGGACATAGTATTTGTAACCATCTTTGGGATTATCATGCTAGGCTTCAAAAGACAGTAAGAGTGAAATCAAACTTTCATGGCCCTGACTTGTAACTGTAAGAACTTCCTTATTAATTTAGAAAAAACATGGGAAGAAAATTCACCAGCTTAGCAAGGATAAACTAAGAAACCCCAGTTTAGTGGGAAGGATATGGGCCTGGCAGCCTGGGATCTCTGTTACTGACCCAGACCTGCCAACAATCAGCTATGTTGCTTTAGCCAAGCCACTAGCATTGCAGCCTCAATATCATCATCTGTAAAATAAGGCAATTTAGACAAATGATCTCTAAAGCTGAAAACTCTCTGAATCTGATCTAACAAGGTCTTATCGTTCAGCTTTGGCTCTCTGAGAAGGAAAATGCAGTGCTTTAAATGGGATGAGAGTGAGGGAATAGCATAACATATAAAGAATGGTCCTTATTGTCCTCCTTTTTTATGATAATTTTTTTCTCAGTTGATGTAATAGTTGGCTTTTTTTAAAGTTTCCCCCTAAAAAGTCCAGATGCTATGATTTCATCAACCACAAACAAATGGGGCAGGGCTGGTGAGGTCCTGGGAAAATGAGTATAATTCCTGGAAAACAAAGTTTATATCCTAACTAGCCGTCCCAAAAGGACTAGATGGACTCATACCCATTAGCACTCTGAAACCAAATGAATTCATGATTGATTGTGATTTTTCCACCTAGCTTAGTACTGTACTTAAGTTATTAGCACCAGATCACTTACATTAACTTATCTTGCTCTTGGATTTTTATGTGAGGTATCAATCAACTGTGATTATTCTTTTTCTGGGTCCATAGAGAGCGCGTTTGGCCACTGACATGATGACTATACACCAAGCGACACTGCTTTCAAATATTCTATTTTCCAGCCAAAAATCAATCTAAAGATTATAAGCTAAATCAACCATTCTTTTCTATTCTTGGCAGTAATTCAAAAGTACAATTTCTCTCACAGTTCAGGATATGAGTATCTTTCCATAAATAATTATCTACATGTAAAAACTTCCCAATGGCTAAACACGTGGACTCGGAAGTGATATTGAGCTTACCAATCTATTTTCCTTAGGTACTTTAACTCATTTTTCCTGATTCGTAGTATGCTTTAAAGTATATGTTGGAGACAGACAGAGATCATGTTACTGTTACAATACAGAAAACCAGGAACTAAAGACATACTATGAAAGTTATACCATTTAATGTAATAAGTACTAACACGAGAAGAACTCTGTTATAATATATAACTCAAGGAAGGGCCACTTGTGCTAAACAGTTTATTTTGCACAGATTTTTAATATAGTGACCTTGTAAAATAATTACTGGCCAATATAGCCCATGCATCAACCAACACTGAGAAGTGGGTCTCAGAGTGGCATCAAGGGGTTAAGGGCAGCCGCTATTTGTTAGCCCGTATTTCCCATTTCAAGAGTATAACAATCAATATAAACACATTTACAACAGACTGGGTGAATGTCACACCGAGCTCTAAAGTTGAGAAACTTCCAGAGACAAGAATGATGAGGGATCAATAGTTGTAGAGAAATAAAATCCCAACGCTACTATATAATTCCCAGTAATGCTCAATCACGCTCTTTACTTGGCATGTCCTTGCTGCCCAATAACTCCCTCGTTAATTCCTGTGCCCAAGGCATCATCACATGCCAGAACTTTTCTGACCGCTTCCTTTACCCCCACTTTCCATCCCCACCCCAAACTCGACTAAATGTCTGCCACTAAAGTACCAATATATTTTCTATCACAACACTTGAAATTACAATAAATTGTAAGTATTTTTTCCCCTGTCTAGCCCATGCCCTGAGTTCAGAGAATCTCCACTCCTTAGAAGCAGGACATATATCTGTCTTGTGTGTCTTTGTGCCTCTGGAACAAAGTAGACCTTCAATAAATATTTGCGGAAGGAATAGATCACCTGGAGTGCTTTTAGAAGTTCACATTTTCCAGTTCTACCCCTAAAGATTCTGATTCATTTTTAGCGAGCAGCAAAAGCGGTTCTCATGTAAATGACCCAGAAATATTTTTATTCCGAGAACCTGGAGCTGCTACATTTAGCATTTCATTAAGTTTTTCAACCACTTGTACTAATTTGCTAGGGCTGCCATAGTAAGCACCACCAACTGAGTGGCTTAAGCTACAGAAATTGTCTCTCAGTTCTGGAGGGTGGAATTTTGAAATAGCTGTTAGCAGGGTTAGTTCTTTCTGAGGGCTGTGAGTTAAAGATCTGTCCAATGATTCTCTCCTTGGTTTATGGATGACCATCTTTATGTTCACGTAGTGTTCTCCCTGTATCCCTGTCTTTGCCCAGATATCTCTAGTTTATAAAGACACCAATCATAATGGATTAGAGGCCCACCCTATGACCTTAGCTTAACTAATTATTTCTGCAACAACCCTATTTCCAAATAAAGTCATATTCTGAGGTACTGGAGGTCAGAACTTCAACACATAAGACACAATTGAACCCATAACAGCAACTTTTATTTATTTTGCCACTCTGAATTCTCTCCCATAAGAGATGTGATGTAGTATACTGAATATATGACAAACTATGAAGACATCTGCTAATTTTGTTGTTATTATTAGCTAAAATGAGATGATGACATTATACATATACTTAGATTTACACAAGAGATATGTTCTTTAAAAGTTGAGTTAATTAAAGTTTTGTTAATTTATGTTTTCAAAAACACATAATTTATCTTTTTAAAGTATCTCTTTGAAAAATCCTTTTGTAAAGTTTAGAATCTTACTGTTAAAATAACTGTTCTCTCATACTGACCTTGAAACTTCAATTCACATTCTCTTGAAAGCAGGGCATTTTACACCAGACATATACAATTATTCCATGTTGCAAACAGACAAATTTTCAACAGATAAGAGAAAAAACTTTGAACCTATTCCTTCAGAGAGTCCCTCTGAATACAAAATAGAAAGTGCAAACTACAGGCAAATCCATGATAATGAACTACAGGGCAAAAGAGAAGCTTTACAGGGAAGTACAATTTGTGTACCAAAGATTAAGCCTCAACTGTAGATATAAATAAACCAACCAACCAAACAAATAAATCCTTTTTGAGATGGTGGTGAAGGTCCGAAGTCCACATTAATCCAAAATATATTAATTGAGCATTTACAATGTGCTAAAGGCTTTAATTTATATATAAAGATGTAAACCTTGCCTTCAAAGAGCTCAGAGTCAAGTTCTAGAGAAGGATGTATAACTAAATAGCTCTGATAAACAGGGCCATATTAGGAGTTATCATGGGCAACCATGGTCTCAAGACGCTTCTAATCTTAAATATACTGTCCCATAATTCCTGTATTTTCTTATTAAATTTACAAGTCCTGATTCTTCCTTTCTCCCTTTCCTTTTTTCCTTCTTTCCTTCCTTCATTTTATTCTCCCTCCCTGTCTCTCCTTTTTTTTAAAAATCTTTTAATATTATAAATACTAGTTCTATATTTGTTACATACATTGGAAATAGTTTCCTAAATTGTCTCTCAATTTGTTCAAGATTTTTTAAAACCAGAGTTTGTATTAATACTTCTCTAATGGTTTGTATTCTCTATGAACCAGTTGCTCAGTATCATAAAAGAGATAATAATAGTTATCTCCTGCAAAGTTGCATGTTGAGCTTCAAAAGATATACTGATGTCAAGTGCTTAGCATGATAACTGGCACTGAATATTAGTTGAACTCCCCTTTTTCTTCTGATTATTAGAGGTCTTGGTTTTATTCCTAAGCATTTTATATTTTTATTACTAATTTAAATGATAGCAGCTTTGGAAATAGTTTGGTAATGGGAGTGTTTGGAATGAAGGGAATGAGATTTTACTGTCATATTGTCATGATTTCATGTTAAATGGTTATTTCTAGATGCCTTTCATATTACATGAATAATTTGCCACATGCCGTTACTTCTGCTTATGTCAGCTTATTTTCACCAATCAAACAAGAATTTATTACATAACCAGCTTCCACAGATTACTAAACAAAGGAACACCCATCTTCAGTATTTTTCAACCACATCAGAGGAAGTCATCTGATAAATTCTGTTTGATTCTAGGCATGTGAAGTGAGAGGATGAGAATCACAGTAATATTTGTAGTTGTTCCAAATCACCAAATGTATTTCGATCTTAAATTTTCCATTACATGTAACCAGATTATGTACTTATAAATCTTTAGAATATGCTTTTAGCTACAATCATAACATGACATTCCTACAAGAAAATATGACAATTCTTTTGGCCAAGATACTTTGACTTTAAGGAATTTAATGGTTCTAACACATTTTGGTAGACAGGCTAATATGAATAATTGCTGAGTGTTGTAAATGTAAATAGAGTAGTTTTCCATTATCCACGGGGCATAAGTTCCAAGACCCCCAGTGGATGCCTGAAACCACATAGTACCAAACCCTATACATACTGTTTTTCCCTATACACACATACCTATGATAAAGCTTAACTTGTAAATTGAGCATAGTAGGAAATGAACAATAACTAAGAATAAAACAGAACAATTAGAACAGTTCACTGTAATACAAGTTAATGTGAATGAGGTCTCTCTCAAAATATCTTACTGTATTGTACTTGCTTTCTCTTGTGATGCTGTGACATGACACAGCGCCTACATGATGAGATGAAGCGAGGTGAATGGTAGTAGGTTTTTTTGGACCAGGGTTGAGTGTGGATAACTGAAACTGCAGAAAGTGAAACCAAAGATAAGAGGGGACAACTGTTTATCATATGCAAAATTAATAATATGCAGTTTCGAGGATATGTATACATAGGTTATAACCATAAAATAAAATGGAGGACTAAAGCGTTTTTTAAGAAAGTCCACACATCTCCGTTTGATTACAATATTTGACTCCATCTTTACTTCCCATTACATATAGCAGCTTTTAGAAACATAATGCCATACAGATCTGTTGACTCCCTATGTTGGACCATAATAACTCCTTTGTCTTTTTTTGAGAAAGATAGTCCAAAGAAAATAGCCATTTAACATCTCTCTTTCAGGAACTTCTGGGACATGCTTGGAAGAATTATACTGCCATCCTTTTCACCCACGCAGAAAAAATAGAAGCAGCTGGGTTCAGTGAAGATGAATACTTACGGGAGGCCTCTGATACACTGCTAACCCTACTAAATTCTATTCAGCACAGATATATTTTCCAGTATAAAAAAGGAAACTCACTTAATGAACAAAGAACAAATGTCTTAGAAAGAATCATGGAATTTATAAAAGAAAATTGTTACCAAGTTCTTACCTTTAAATAAAATTTAGATAAAAGGAAAAAAAGCATTAGGTTTTAATGTCAGAAACCTGGTTGCAAAAGTGTCTTTGTTGGAATGGATGTGGGCCATGAGAATTCCCATATCCTGCCAGTGGGTGTATACTTGTATAACCACTATGGAAATGATCCAGATGTTCATTAACAGTAACATGGATAAGCAAATTGTGGTATTTCACACAATGAAATGTTATATGCTAATGGGAATGAACAAACTACAACTGCATGTGACAGTATCAATGAATTGCCCAAATTGTAGGGTACGTGGAGGCGGTCTGGCTCCCTCACCCAGATGCATGGGGAGCCGGAGGGAGCAGCTCCTCACAGCCTTGGAGGAGTCTGAGAAAGCAGTGTTCCCACAGGCTTTTGCCCGCGGTCTCACGGCCTCAGGTGCGATAAACTGCCCTGTAGCCTTGAGTAGGATCGCATGCGCAGCTCATGATAGTTACTTCACCTTCTGGCCTGATTACCCTGCTTTGTTTGGGGCTAGTGTAAAAGGGATAGGAGCTTTGGATGGGGCGGGGAGTTGGGCAACCGTACTTGGACGCGGGCTCGTGGCCTGTGTGTGGCGCAGATACAGGCTTTGTGGCCTGTGTGATTTCCCTGGACCAGGCTTGTGCCTCTGTGACTCTCCCAAACAAAGGCATGCCAAGCATCCCCAAGGCTCCACACATCTTCTTCCGTCTACCTGAGCCGCGAGCAGACCTGTCCAGCCTAGAGAGGCTGCAACACAATAATGCTGTCAGCAAGAAGCCAAACATACTCCATAAATGTAACAAACTTGATTTTCAACATCTGAGTTATCTTTTCCCTATATTCATGTCATCAATTGGTGTTTTCATCTTAAAACATCTATTCCTAACAGTTTGATAAATATCTTAATGTACAGTTCCCAGATTACTACTGAATTGGAGCAACTTTTTTATAAGAATGTTGGTCATTTAGATTTGCTCTTCCATGAATGGCCTTATCACATTTATCTTTTTTGTCATTTTCCTATAGGCTTAGTTTTTACAAAGATTCTTTGCTTGACGAAAACTTGAGAGATGCTCCTACGCTTCTCTTAGGCCATCTGAGTCTTGTAAAATATAGTTTTGACAAGAATCCTGCGAAGTCAGTTCAACCAGAATCTTGTATATTCATTTTTCTGATCGGGTTCCTCATCCTCTATTCCAGATGATGTCTGATTATCCCAGCCTGGCTTCAGCAAAGACTCTATCAGGTCGGTTTGGCCAGACTCCCCCCAACCCTTGTTGCTTCTTCTTAATAGTTGTACATCCACAGATCCACACCCTGCTCCTTGGCTATAAATTCCCACTTGCCCATGCTGTATTCGGAGTTGGGCCCAACCTGTCTCCCTACCATAAATCCCATTGTGGTTCCTATAAATCTCTATGAACCTAAATTACCATTAGGTCTGCCTTACCAACTTTAACATGTGCCATTGAATATTTTTTCTTAAACACTTCCCGCCTGGCAAATTGGAAGAGCTTTATATTGTAGATAATAGCCCTCTATCTGTCCTTCATGACACATTTTTTTCTCAATTCTACTTCATATCCTTTCACTTTGTTTTAATAACTTTTGCCAGATTAAATTGGTGCATTTTCTTAGTCATATATTTCTATGTACATGATATGAGGCAGTATTTTAGTTTCATTTTCTTTCAGAGGTGTAACCAATTGTATTCGCTCTATTTATTAAATAATTCAACCTTTTCCTACTAAATAAAGGTAGACAGACTGAGACAAATATATATAGAGAGAGAGCGCGCAAGAGAGATCTCCTTTATTTCTGGATCAATTCTGGATTCTTAATTCCTTTCCATTATAAATTTTATTTGTGGTGTTGTCAGTGCCAGAATAATTTAATTAAAATGACTTTATATCATTGCTTAATATCTAAAAGAACAAGTTTCCCTTTTCTTTTTTCAAAATATTTTCTGGCTACTCACAGGCATTCATTTATACACACACACACACACACACGCACACACACACACACACACGCACATATATAAATTTGCAGATCTCTTCTAATTTAAAAAATTCTTTTGTAATGTGTTTTTATGATAAATTACATTTTGTGATATTAAATCCTCCTATGCAAAGATATAGGACTTTTCCCCCATCTTTATTTATTTTACATTACTGCACTTCTTGTATTTTTCTTTTCCTTCGTTTTGATTTGATAGTTTTTTTAAAAGATTTTATTTATTTTTAGAGAGGGAGAGAAACATCAATGTTTAGTTGCCTCTCATGCGCCCCCTACTGGGGATCTGGCACGCAACCCAGGCATGTGCCCTGACTGGGAAACTGGCGATCCTTTGGTTTGCAGGCCAGCACTCAACCCACTGAACCACACCAGTCAGGGCTGATAAAGTTTCTATTAATTAATTAATTTTTTTCTTGATAATTTGAAAGTTTAATTCATGTCCATTAAGGATTATACACTTGCTCCTGAATTCAAAATCAAGTACCTATTTCTCGACTACTCTTTGATAACAAAGTAACAACTATTTCCTTAACCAAGACCTTTCATTCCCTACTGCTCATCCCCTCAGCTATTAAAATAAGACCCTAGAACACTCATCTTCTTATCCTTTTGTCCTTCCCATCCTCCTTAGGAAGGAGGTCTTTGAAATGCTTTTCCTTTCCCCATATTACCAGATTTTGCAAAGATAATTAACTAAATAATTCAAGACTTCCACTTACAGATTGCCCCTTCTAAGTCTTCTTTTACCATTTATGTTGAGCATACTTGGTAGTTTATCATTCTTTTAACTTAATATACAAATATTAGAAGGTCCAATCCTCATCACCGTTTTCTCTTCACCTCCCCTCCATCTTTTTCATTAGTATATTTTCCTAATATACTCTGAATTCTAGTATAGTAGAATTCTAGTACAGCATCCAAAAGGCATTAAATTCAAGACATGCTCTTCGACGCACCATTATGCAATGGCAATCCTAGCTCCTCATAATAATCAGCACAGTGGATGTAGGGAAATAATTTGTTAGTTGATAATGGAATAGTTGAATCCTAATGGTGATCCATTGAAGTGAACATCTGTGCTGTGCTCTACATGAAGCTGGGTTGTACAGCTTTTTCAGGATGACAGAGTATCCATTGAATACTCACTATTGCTGGAGATAATTACGACTTGCAACAAAAGACCTATGTGACCAGGATTAGATCTAGGTAAAATAAATGTCAAAGTTCACCTTTTCGCTATCGTGCTATTAGATATAATTTACAATCTTTCCTCACATCCCTCCAGATGTCCAATCAGTATGCTATTCTTACCTGAAAGATAAAAATCTCTACTAAATTTTATATTTGACTTTGGGCAGTGGGCACACAATGCAATACACACATTGTGTATTACAGAAATGTACTCTTAAAACATATATTCTTATTAACAAATATCCCAATAAATTTAAAGAAAAAATTAAAAAAACAAAAATGTGTATTTAAAAGTGTTTCATTTCATTTAGAGAATTGGAAGATAGAACACGATATTTATGTGCAGCTGGAGTTAGTCTCGTTATGTATCATTTTGGGTTATTATTCGTTCACTCCTAATACATACCAGGTCTATTCTTCTAGATACCTCAATTAGCAGTTTCAGGCTTTCTTATTTTAGGTATGTTTATCTATACATTGCCTTATTTTAATAAAAAGTTTGCTTAAATTGTTCTATTGATTTTCAGGCATATGAAAATTCTTTTAAAAAGGCTAATGTTATTTAATATTAATAGTGGCATTATTTCCCAGATTCTCAAACTTTACTTTAAAAACGTCTCTTTTCACAAACATCTGAAGTTCTTGTTTTCAATACATGTGTTACTTTAGGAGAAAGTGTTTTCCTTTCGTATGAAAATGGAAGGTTATGAAAAAAAAGTTTTTTCTACAAAAATCTCTCTTCCGCTAAACTTATTGAAAGTGACTTTTAGTTTGCATTCTTCATTAATCTTTTTCAAAGAGAAATCAAATTGTGTGTTGATCTGGATGACTCATGCACCATTCTTTCCAAATTCCCCAGGTGTAAAAAGTTGAGTGGGTTTTAAATTAACAAGTATCAGCCAAATATGTAATCTTAGGACTGAAAAGTTAAGTGGATGCATATATTGCAAGCATTTCTCTACTGGGATATATGATATTCTAATGAGGCTATTTACGAAAATAAATGTAAACTTTGTCAGAGCAGTCTTGGTATGAAGGATCCTCACATAAATGCCACAACAGAAATAAGTAGACATTAATAATAGCTATTTGAACAATTCTGTAGGCATTATATAACAATGGGAAAAGCAAGAATAGCTAGCCCTTCATTAAAAAGGGTAATTTTTTTCTTGCAGTTATTGAGCCCTGAGCTTGTTTTTGCTGGTGTTGCTAACCATAATGGCCTGCCAGATAAGGAATGATGATGATGACATAAAACACACATATTTTACTCAAAATCCAGAGAATTGGGAAGTGTGTTAGGAGGGAAATGGGAGTAAGGGAGAAAGAAAAAAGAAAACAACAGAATATATAAGGGTGAAATAATACAATATAGTTATTAATTGACACTCTGAAATTCCAGATGGCTTACTTTCAAATCAATGTTTCATTGTTTTATTTGCGTCCTTTCTCCCATTTTTTTTTTGGGGGGGGGGAGAGTTATACTCCTATGAATTATCTCTACTAAGACTTATCTAAAGGAAAAACCGTAACTGTAATAAGTGCAATAAGCAAGAATGGGTAAGTCATTATTTTCCACTCCAACAAGTTGGTGCACAAAGATCCAGTTTTGTCTAGTAGCCTATTATCCATTAGCAACCATCATTCTTTTCATTATTGTTGCAAATTTCTGGGTTATTATCCAAGTAGGGCTGCAAATGGGGTATAACTAAAGAGCTGTTCCTGGTTAAAATATCTATCTGTCCGGCTGCCTGCATATCCATTCATCCATTCATCCACCCACTCACCCACCTTCCTACCTGCCTATCTGGAACTTAGTGAGTTCCCTCACAGGTTGGTGTTTGGGGTGAACTGTCATTAGAGGGCCCTCAACAACAGTATACAATTCAAAGAATCAAGGCATGTGGCTCTTTAGAAAGGCACCTGCTGGTTTTGCCAAGTAATTCTTCTCAGAACATCAGCAGCAAAAAGAAAAAAAAATTGATTCTCTTTGGAGCAACAACTCCAAAGGAATGTTTAATGATCTCATGGTTTCTCTTAGAATCTCTTAAATTGTACTGAAGAAGCTACCCTAATCTCCTTACATCAATTATTAGAGCTTAGGTTGGTTTTTTTGTTTGTTTGTTTGTTTTTTAATCACTATCTTTCCCTACAGTTTAAACAAAAGTTTAACTTCTCAAATAGAAGAAACCATGTGCTATTTAACTGACATGGACCAAAGTATACTGTAATGGAAAAGAGCACAGAATTAGTAAGAATTGGAAAAGCTAGGTTTTGGCAAGTTCTATTTTAACACAAGCATTTATTTAACTTTTCTGTTGATTCTTTGGGGTTAAATGGCTGATATACCTCTAGGGAGTTAAGAAATTGGTAAGCTTTGTGAAAGTACTTTGTTAGCTATAAAGCATTAAATATCTTAATAATAATTCTACAATAAAATTAATGACAGATAGTAATATATCCCCGTTTTTAAAAAAGGGCATAGTTATCTAACTAAAATTTTGAAGGGCAAAGCTTTCTCCACAAAACAGCACTTTGCAGTATTATTGGTAGTGGAATTACATTAACTTGCCTCACTAGCTTTTATTTTGTTCACAGTAATAGTCTTAGCCTTCACGCCACTGCACAGCACTCAGAACCGGGGCTTGTGTCACCATGTCCCTGCAGTACATAATTAATACTGTGCACTTCAGGTATTTTTACATTTTTAAAAGTAGAACATATTCTTTCCTTGGAAAATTGAGATATACTTTTGCCCCTTTAATGCCCTCATTACAAGCAATAGGGAGGTGCTTCCCCACCCACCCAAAACTTGAAAATATGATTGCTTCTATTTGTGTTAAACTAACACAAGTTAAAAATATTGGCTTGCTAAAAAATTGCAAAACTATTTTAGAATTTTATCAATAATATTAAACCAGTGAAAGAACATCAATGAATACGGCTGGCCAGCATCTAAATATCTAAAAAATGGATTTCAGTGGGAGTGCAGAGAAAGTTTCAGTACTGAACATCTCCAGCAAGGAAGAGATAACCCATCTGGTGGAGAGGAACCGTCAGGTCTGTTGAAAGATACGGTTACAGCCTGCATGTAATATTCCTTAAGATATTCTGTTCAATTTATAAACACCAAGTAATCTTCTCAACAAGAATTCAACTTCTCAGGAAATATATTGAGAAACACTTGTTTCTGGAAAGGAACATCCCTATCATAATATTCCAGGCATTGTTTTAAGTACTCTGTGGGTACTAACTCACACAATCTTCCCAACTCTACGAAGTACTGTTATCACATCCATCTACAGATGAGGGAATTAAAATATACAGAGGCTGAACAATTGCACAAGGTCATACAAGCAGTTAATAGAACTAGGAATCAAAACTGGGTAATCTGGCCTCAAAACCAGTAATACTAGGCTTCATAAATCCTTATCATCTACAAATGCAGATTTTTGGACCTGAAGAGCTAAGACCCAAACATCAGGACTTGGTTAAACTCATTAATGTTGCTTGATGAGGCCCTCTCCATCCCTTCTATTTGATGACATGCTTTCTATTAAACTTCCATCAATTACTTTGAATATTTTGTAAGTAATCTAAATGGGAATTTACATTATTATTTACTTATTTTTAAAAATTTTATTCATTTATTTTTAGACAGAGGGGAAGGGAGGGAGAAAGAGGGAGAGAAACATCAATGTGTGGTTGCATTCGTGCGGTCCCTACTGGGGACCTGGCCAATCCAGGCCTGTGCACTGACTGGGAATCTAACCAGCAATCCTTTGGTTCATAGGCTAGCACTTAGTCCACGGAGCCACACCAGCCAGGGTGGGAATTTACATTGATTTTAAAAATCAAAAACAAATTATCTGTTTGGTGGGTACTTAAAGTTCTTATAACTGTAGAGTACTTAATGCTCTTAACAGAAGAAAGGCAAAAAAAGATTTTCCAATTTTTATATTAAAATCAACATGTCCTGAAAATGACTCAGCTCAAAAAGAATACATGGAGTTTCTACATGTAAGAAAAGTTAGTACTCCCAATATTCACATATGATAGTGGGTCAGCCTGGATGAAAAATTATCTTGGGATAAGGTCAGATTTTTGCTCTGGTTTAGTTTGCAATTAGAGGCACCAACTGTTTAGTCGGTGACCTAACACTATCTCCTATTTTTAAAATCCTTAAAGAGCTGACTACCATTCCAAAGCTAGGAGAGTTATACCTAGTTCACCACCAATGCCCTTTTTGTTGTTGTTGATTCCGTAAGAGCTCTCTCATCCCAGCAATACAAATAGAATGGAATTAAGTTTTCATAAAAAATAATGACAGGCCCTGGCCAGTGTGGCTTGCTTGGTCCGAGCATCATCCTATGCACTAGAGGTCGCCGGTTAGATGCCTCGTATGGGCATATACTTGGGTTGTAGGCTTAGTCACTGGGCACATACAGGAAGCAACCTATCAGTTTCTCTCTCTCTCTCAAAATCAATAAATGTATCCTCCAGTGAGAATTAAAATGAATGAAGGAATTAATTAATGAACAAATAAAAAAATAATGACTGAATGGGGCTAAACTGAAAACTTGACTGAGTAATGCTTTTTTGTAACTTGAAGAATTTGGAATAAATATTTCAACTAAGTAGTTAAACTATCCTTTAAATTACATTAAAATTATTTAAAGAAATGATATAATTGGGAAAAATTAGAAAAGACAGGATCACAAAAGACTTTGTCACATTCTTCATTCCCCAAAGAATAATGGATCTTCAAAACAAGATAACCTTGGAAATTCATTTGTGTTTAGTTATTAGCATATGTTAATGATGCTCTGTTATTAGTCAGTTTTCCAGAAAGATGATCCAATTCTATTATAGTATCATTTCCTGGCCAACCAGAACTCCATGGCCTAAAATAAATGAACTTACACCTTTTTTAACTCAACCTGTAGGGTTGTTGTAAAATTTTGTTTTGCCTCTCCTTATTGGAGGCATAAAGAGTTACGGTGCTAGAATTTTGACTGTGAGACTTTTCTTTCAAACAACAGCTATACTCCTACCCCCAACAGATGCATTTCTTCAACAGCCCAAATCATCAGTCATCATCTCAAGAAATTTATTTTAAAGATTTTATTTATTATTTTGCTACATTTCCAACATTTGTGTTTTGACAAAGGGGAAAGGCAGGAAGAAAGAGGAGAGAAACAACGTGTGGTTGCCTCTCGAGCGCCCCCTGTGGAGACCTGGCCTGCAACCCAGACATGTAACCTGAGTGGGAACTGAACTGGTGACCTTTTGCTTCCCTGGCCAGCACTCAACCCACTGAGCCACACCAGCCAGGGCCAAGAAATGTGATAAAATTAAAGCTAATAATGCTAATGTTAATTTTCATTGTTCCTAGAATAACTGCGTGAGTGAAAATAGGCATCTGACACCTTAATGTATAATAGGGTTTTGGCTGCCACTTCTTTTAATACACTGACAGTATGATGGTTCATGGAAAAGCAAAATGTATCAATCTTAAATGCTCTTCTAAAGATAATAAGCTCTAAGTAACGTTTTATTAGGTAGCTAAGGAATCTTTAAAGTCAGCTAGATTAAAAAAATAGATTGCTGCTTTTATGGTCCATTTATTGGAAATTACATTGGCAACACTTTGCAATGTTTTTATACTTCATATTCAAAATTTATTACTAACTACTTTGCTAAAAGGAACGAAAAATTCAAAACATAGTTGGAAATTTCTTTTTAAAAAGTCCTGGTTACTTTGGCAAAGAATAGAATAATGTACAAATGGTATTTCTCTTAGCTTTTATGATGTTTGGCCCTCTAGAATCAACAGTTCTTATTTTTCAGTATTACAATATGACCAGTTGATAAAACACAAATTCTAACTTGTCATTTTTGAAGAGAGGACCTTTATAACACAGATACACAATATACTAAAAACTTAAGGTCTTGAAATTTCATGCATCATGTGCCTACAAATAAGAAACAAAGTGTTAATCTAGTTCAAGTTATCTAAAAATGCATAAAGGGAAAACAATTTGCTAACATCCGTGCTAAAAAACAGGTCATCACAAAACAGAGGACATTTCCTCCCTACATTATAAAGGATCAAAAATCATAGGTAAAAATATAGTGTTTTTCTAATCAATTGAAATAATATACACAAGGTAAAAGACTAATCCAGTCTAGAAGAGAAATAACACAAAAATGAGCCAGTTATGTTTTAGACATAAGTGACCAATGTATTTCTTTTTATTGTTATTAAAGTTTTTCTAATTTCAGTAACTGAAGCATTGTAATTTTATTTTATTCCACTGTTGGCCATAGTTTGAGCCCTACACACTCCCTTCCCTTTCACCTCAAAGGGAACTCCTTTGTAAGTAGCCACACACTCATCATTGGTGTACAGATCAGGCTGGATCTGCTCCCAAATCTTCTTCTTAGGATTCAACTCTTTATCAGGCTCTCCTGTTGGGAAAAAACAAAATTATATAGCTAACATATTAAATAAATTACCCATAGACATTTTTAGTGAACTGTCTTGGCAGTACTTTCTGACCTTTAGACCTGATCAGAATTTTAGCATTTACTGTTAACATTTACTTTATTTTCATGATGTTGGTAGTTTATAGTCTTGATTGGTAAAATATATTTTGTCATTTCCTTACCAATACTCAAGATTATTTCCACTGTTATAATAATAAATATTTTTACAAGTAATATAGCTCAATGAATTTATTCCACAAGTTTAAAATAAAAATATAAGGTATTCTTTAAAAAAAATTGCAAGGAATTAGAATTTCATGTTATATTTTTACATGTGCAGAAGCAGTGTATGTACGCTTCACTGTATGTTTCATCACACAAAATGACTAGACTGCTGCTACAGTGCTTAAAGGTTTCTTATAAATACTAGAGAATGGCCTAAATATCGGAGTTATCTGGCTAAATATAACTACATTGGGTTTCATCTGCTCCCCATTTCCATTTGGTGAGAGAGAAAGTGTCAGAAAAGGGTAGTAAAGAGACAAGGGTTAGCATTTTCTAGGAACTGGAACTTATGCCTATGTTGTTACATGCAATTCACATAACAATATTGATTTTATCTTAAATATACATAAACTGGGGCTCAGAGAAGATAAGTTGTTCAAAGTCACACAATCAACAAGTGAAGTCAGGATTTGACACCAAAGCTGTTGTTCCACTAGTATATAGCACCTTGCCTCCTAATAAATGATGCTCCAGGAAAGAAATAAGATTCTGACATATGGATAATGCCCCATCCTCTCTCTTCATAGTAACTCACTATAAAATTTACAATCAATAAAAGACAAAGGAACTATAGAATATATCTGTCTAGGCTTAAAAACAACCAACAGACCAAGCAAGCCCTCTATTTAATGAGTGATAAGGAAGTAGCAAGCAAAGTTTAATATAAGAGCATTTTAATACCTGGGGATATTCAATAACATTTGGAATGAAGAATAGCATCCAGAGACAATTAAAAAATGTATCTCTTAAGCATTTGCTTCAAATGAAAAATAACTGTCCTGGAGGTAATAAAAATATTAATGAAGTATAATTCAATACTGATAGAAATATAACTTTCTGGATGGTTTTTTAACTGACTCCCAAGTTGAAATCTCTTGGAATTACTTTAAAAAGAATCTTTTAAACATTACTGGAACTAATTAAAGTCTATTATTCTGATCACATCTTTTTATCTAGTGTTTATTCTCTGCTCATACATACATAGGAATAATAAAACTCATGGTAGCTTTGTTCTTTCTTAGCCCTTCAGAAAACTGGCAGGAATATACAAAACTGTCCTCTGATATGCAGGTTTTCAGAGATGACAAAAGAGTTAATTGAATGATGTATTTATAGTAAAAGAACATGCAATGAAACTAACACTGAAACACTATAAAAGTGAGGATTTCTCTTACTCCTTTAAGAACATTAGATTGGACATAATAATTAATTTTTATTAATTAATAAATATGAAAAAGTAGCAATAGAGAGAATATCTAAAAGATTTTTATTTTTTGTTTCTAAACCATTCCTAATCTAAGAGTATAGTCCTACTTTCCTTGTGCACAAATCACGTGGAGAAGTGAGCTACTGTTCAGGGAGACCTGAGTCCTAAGCCTGAATTCCTCCCAAAAAGAGATGTTCCCTAATGGATAATGAATTAATTTAAGAGGGAGAGTGCCCCAGATTTGGGCAAAAGCTTCTTATAAAGAACATAAATTGTGCAGTACATTTTTGCTGAATGCATACATTAAGGCCCAAGTACAAAAAGCTGTGCTGTGGCATATTATTAAGCTTCTCCAATCTAGTAAGATACTGAAATGTATAGAAAATAATATTCATGATACACACCACATATAGTGCTTATGTGACAGTCACTGCACTGTTTTACATATATTTACTTATTTAACTCTCTCAGTACACTATATAAAAAAATGATTAATTATCCCCAATTTGTAAATGAGGAAATGAAGGCACAGAAATTACAACTAAGCACTTAAAAAAGTAGGCATGTAGCCAAGTGTTTCAAAAGTTAAACCTCACAAAACACACAGGAAATAGATACCATTCAAAAACCCTTCTCATTAAAAACAATAACATTACCACCCTTCTTATAAATGAAAAAGCTGGGGCTCAAAAAGGTTCCCAGGTCACCGAGTACTTGTTCATGTGTGGAGCCAAGATCTGAAAGTTTTACATTTCTTATATAAAACTATAATAATTTTCAAGGAATAAAGATTTGAACTAAAAATAAACTAGAAATAAGAGGAACCTCCATAGTTTAACTACTGTCTTTCAGCACACAAGAATCAATACCTGTAACTCTCTGTATGTAGTTCCTAGACTTTAACAAATCAATAAATGAAACAATGACTTGGACAACTAAAATTTAAGATGATTATTAAAACCTATGACATTATAAACACTGAATATAAATCAGAACTGAAAATCTTGGATTGCAGTGTTAACCTTCTGGCTTACTGAGCATGCTTCTAAATAATATACTATTTGGTAGGTATAAAGCAATTTGAAAAGTTTAAATCACCTCCCACGGAAAACATACCTAATATTTAAAACAATTTTAAATGAACTGTATTTTTCAGAGAAGTCTTTCGTCATTCCTGCATGCTATATCCATCCTCTAATCTTATTTTTGTAATTTTCTTTCGGTTCTTAACCCACCTCTCCCTGCCGTGTTTTGGCATGGCTATGCAAAAAGGTAAGTGATGATATCAATAAAAATTCTTCAAGCTAAAAACTGCAGAGCCTCTGAAATTGTTAAACCTAGCCAATAATCGCCATTTGGAAATGGTTACACATATTGTAAGAGAACTAATCATTTAGAGATTATTTTAGGCCAACTGATCTAAACAAAACACATAGGGATTAAGAACTAGTTCAAGATGAGTTTGTACAGATGTGAAAAGCTGCGACTACCTTCTCCTCCTTCTCAGCACTTAAAACCTTCAAAAAGCAGTAACTACAAATTCCAGAGTCCCAGGCAGTCACAAGTCTGAAATAAGAACCAGAGACTTCATTTTAATTGGGCCACTGTTTTGCAGAGAATACTCACTGAGCATCAGCTCCTTTTTGATATCGAGCACAGCCCTTAAAAGTCTAGCACTAACTCAATTAATTTATGTTTGATTAACTGAGTTTTGAACTATAATAATTGGAACTATGGCCACTTGTGGCACAAAAACTGAAATATAACTTGGCAAGTAAGGGTCAATTAATTTACAAAGCTAATCAACAGGAGTTTGGTGGTTGATAGGAATGATCTTGCAATAATGAAGGCACATACTCAGGCCTGTTCTCAAATACTGTGTTTTGTTTTTTGACATATTTTACAAGTATGTTTTTTTATTTATTCATTAAACAATTTACTGAGCTCCTACTCTATGCCGTGTATTTTTCTAGATGATAGGAATATAGCAGTGACTAAGAATAAAAAAGAAAAAATCTGGGTTTCATGATGCTTACATATCTGTGTGAAGACATTAAATAATGTACAGTATTTAGATGATGATGTTTTGCAAAGAAATAAAATAAAGATATTATTTCAAAGATCTGAATGGGATAAGTAATGGAGCTTCTCAGGAAAGAGCCAGTGGCTCAACCGCAGTGACTGAGGAAGAATGAGAGTACCTGCAGTTAATGAGATAATGGGAAGCCACTGTAAGGAGGTGGGTGCACTCTGGGTCAAATGGAAAGCTTTCCATCAAAGGATTAATATAATCTGACCTAAATCACTCTGCCTACTATAATTGAAAGTAGAAAAAGGGCAAGGGCAAAAGCAGCTGGGAGATCAGTCAGAAGGCTTTTGCAATTATCTAGATAAGGGATGTTGCCGCCAAGACCCAAGTCGTGGTGGGGGAGATAATGAGAATAATTCTGGACATGTTCAGGAGGTACACCCACTGTTATCTTCTGAAGGAGAAGTTGCATGAGAAAAAAAATAGCAGCTGAAAGAATGGAGTTCCAGTCAGAAGACATGGAAAAAAGGCACTCTGGGGGAATACTGGGATATGTATTCTCCCTTTAGACATGTTAGTGGAGTCTAGTAGGCAGCTAAGAGATCGGATAAAATATCCAGGGAATAATGTAGGGAAGAGGGAAGGGGAAGGAGCAAGGGGAGGGAGGGGGAGGGAGCGGGAAGGGGAAGGCAAGAGAGGAGGAAAGGGGGGCAGGGGTCAAATGTGGAAAGAAAAAGAGAAAAAAGAGGGAAGGGACTAGGGTCTGGGGCACTCCAATGTTAAGAGGTCACGGAGGTAAGGAAGAATCAGCAAAGGAGATGAGAAGGGGAACTGGTGAAGCAGGAAGACTACCAGGAAGGAGTGATGCCAGATGTCAAGTTAATTAAGAAAAGGACTGAGAAGAAGCCATGAATATTTCAGCTACAGAGAGTAATAAGAGATCTTGACCACAACAGTTTTGGTGGAACCGAGTAGAGAAAAACCTAACTGAAATGGGTTTTAGGGAAAAGAATCAAATAGAGACAAGGTTTTTTGTCTTTCAAAGAATAAATGGATCCAAAGATGAAACACTCTCGCTTATCATACAGGCTTTCTGAAGGACCATGAACCTATGCTTATTAATAAAACTCAGTATCAATAGAAATAAGTATGGTCTTGGAAGTTAAAATTCTGAATGCAAACTTTCATTTATTTTTAGAGCAAAATCAGTGCATATTCTATAAAAGCCTGTCATTGCCTTTGTCTCCTAGCTAAAATATTATTTTCAAGTTAGTTTTGCTTGGTGCTTTAGGGACCAGTTACAGATTTAAATACTAAAATTTATAGCTTCACACATTTAGGATTAAAAAAGGTATTGAGTGGGGACAGTTTTTAGCCATTGTTATAAAAATATTACTTGGCATCTTTTAAACTCTATGGAAGTTTTCAGTTCTGTAGTTAGAGAAAAAAACTGTTAAGTGTGAAAACCTTTCCAAGTCCACATAGCAATGCAAAGGTTTGAGCCCCAACTGCAATTTCTATACCACACTTAATATATACATCATGAAACGTAAATCTCTAGACACTGAGCACATCAAGTGAACATCAAAATGTACTAGCAGACACCTTTAGCTTTAAAATACAAAACAGATGCACTGATAAATCATAGCTCTCTCTGGAAAAAGAAAAAAAAACCTAATGGTGTGCTGTTTAGTATTAACTGTTATTTCCTTTCAGATTAACTGCTACAGAAGCAGTAACTGATGTGGAACTGTAAGCAAGATAAATATTAACAGACCTCATGTCTCAAAATTTATCAATTATTTAATGCTGTTTGGCTTGGGTAAGCCTATTATAAGTGATAAAATAGTTCAAGGGTGGGGCTGAGGAGAGAGGGAAAAGGGAGAAAAGTGGGAACAACTGTAATAGCTTGAACAATAATAAAAAATAATAATAGAAAATAATTCAAGCAACCTCCTGGCCATTTTAAAGTTAGGTTTTCCCTTCTTTCACTTTACAAAATTTTTTTTGTACTTTCTCTACATATGCATGTGCTAAGGCACAAGGGGAAACTATACATTTAGAGGAAATATCAGTCTTTGGAAGAATGTAAATATAAACACACAAAAAGCCAAACTCAGAGACTAAAGAACATAGTAAAGTCAAGATAGGGCTATTATCATTTCTATATAGGGCTATTATCATTTCTAATGTTAAGTCACTGAGTAAAACTTTCTTTCAATTTACTTAATAGAAATAGCCAAGTAATAACAACTGACTGAACTGCTGAAATATTTACCTGTTAATTCTATGAGGTAAAGGAATGAAAACTGTCATAGAAACAAAGGAAGTATATACCTTCATTAATGAAACAATCTATATTAATTCACAGCAAGCAAAATCAACAAACAAAAATGCTACAGCATTAAAGATTCAGGCACATCTACTGTTTGATCCTTCTACTTATTCTACATATTCTTAAATGAGTAACTATATTCTGTCAGGCCTCAGTTTACAAATCTATAAAATAGTGGGTTAAAGTAGATGGTTTATTCCATTTCTAAACACGAGACTCTACAATTTCTATCAAAAACTTAAAAAGAGTACTAAATATTAAGTATTTAAACAAAAAAGAAGGCGAATGTTAATCTGGAAAGGTAAACCAATATTTGTTTTCTATTCCAATTTAGTGAATGGGACTTCTAAATAGAATTTCAGGTGTCACTATACACATGATTGCGCTTACTCCAAAATATGAGGTTTGGGGAAGTGTTTTGATGTTGTGGTAAAAGAGTGGTGATCTAGAGTCTAAAGTCATCATGCTCCTTTGAGAAATGATTAAGACTGGGATTTTCCCAAAACCCAATTTACCAAAAAAAGCACAGACCATTATAGTTTCAAATCTAGCAAGGTTCAAGACATACACAGGCATTCAAAGACACAAATACTTATTAAACAATCCTTGTATTTTTTAGATTAGTTAGTTTTTATTCCAGGGTGGGGGGAGCTTACTTTCAAGGAAATCAACCTATGCTTTCATCCACATTTTCTATGTTATTCCAACAATGTCCTTCATATCCTAATATTTCATGATACATAATTAACATAGGATTGAAAAAACAGACCTCCATAGAATCACATCAGCCTGGCTATTACATTAAAACTCAGCTATTTCTACAAACATGTTTCCAAATCATTTGATTTTCAAACCTAATTCAGCGTGTTAACCTAATTTATTTCTGATTTTCCCATTATTCTAGTCAAATAAATATACTTTAAATAACTGCAGTGTGCTAATTTCTAACTGTTATCCTCCTGTAAGTTCCTCTCTCTTCAATGAAAGAAAAATTTATTATACACCTGCAAAGCAACCTTTCTCTTCTGCTTCAAAGACCTATTTGAAGAAACTTTCCCATGCATTATAAAGCTTGATCTGTCTCAGGAGAAAACAAGCAATATGAAATGAAAGTTCCTTTTTAATTATTAAAATAAATATTAATTTTAACTTAGAGGTTTTCTGTATGTCTTAAAGTTAAGTAAGAGCATATGTAAATATATTATTAAATGAACTTTCAGGATTATATGCTATTCTTCCATGTCTGAACTTTTCTTCATATTTCTGTGTTGCATTCCGGGATAATCTATAGCTTAAATGATTTTGCAGTGCATTAATTTGTTTTATATACACATTGTACTCTTTTGTTGAGTAGGGATTATATTTAGTATTTTACTTTTAAAGCAAAAACTATCTCTCATGTTTTGTGTAATTTGTACTTTCATGGGGGGGGGGGGAATGTTTAGATGTTTAAGCTTAATATGTCATCTACAGCCAACAGCAATAATCTCAAAAATCATAGTCATTTAATGTAAAGAATTGTGAATCACACACACAGGATTGATTTTAAACTTAAACATTATAAGCATCACTTTGTGAACAATTATTCCCACATGATTTTAAATAATAACTAATAAATACTTACCAGGAAAAGCATCAAAAGTAATTCTGTCTCCAGGAACAGATCCATTAGGAGGTGCCAAGATTTCAACTTTCTCTGGTGAACTGGCACACATCACCATTGCTTGAGATAGGACTCCCCTCATCTTTGCGGGTTTCAGGTTACAAAGTAAAATCACCATCCGATTTTGCATCTGTGTGAAAAACAAACTGGTGAATAAGATGTATAGAATTTCTAGTGATCATACCTAAAATATACCAAGGTTCATCTAATATGCTAAGTATTAAATGTCCTATTTTTGACAATGTATCTTTTATCTCTGTGTATCCCCAATCTTTCATTTGCTATTATAAAGCTTTATAGAAAGATGAAGAAACAAAAAATAATTCTACAATGACTGAAGAAAGAAACAGTTAAAAAAAAAAAAAGATATTTTAGGGGACCTCTTAGAAAATATCAAACACGCTAACATTGTCATTATAGGGATTCCATAAAGAGAAGAGGAAGAAAGGTCAGAGAGCTTATTTGAAGAAATAATGCCTGAAAACCTTTGTTAGTCCAGGAAATAGATGGCCAGGTCCAGGAAGCACACAGAGTTCCAAACAAGCTGAACCCAAAAAGACCCACACAAAAACATACTGTAATTAAACTGGCCAACGTTAAAAATAGAGTAGTGAAAGCAGCAGGAGGAAACAAACTAGTCACATACAAGGAAAACACCATAGGCTATAAACAGATTTCTCAGCAGAAACTTTGCAGGTCAGAAGGGAGTTGCAGAATATATTGAAAGTGCTGAAAGGAAAGAATCCACAACTCAGAATACTCTATCTCCAAATGTTATCATTCAGAATTAAGGGATGAAAAGTTTCCTGGGCAAGCAAAAAATTAAAAAAAAAAAATTAAGGGTTTCATCCTAACAAAACCAACTTTAAAAGATTTGTTAAAGGGTTTTCTTTAAGCAGGGGAAAAAAGATAGCTTGAAAAAAAATACAGACACACACACACACACACACACGAAAGAAAAGATCTCGCAGGTAAAAGCAAATACATAGTAAAGAAAGGCAGTAAGTACATTAGCCACTTAAAAGCTAATACAAAGATTAAAAGACAAAAGTAACAAAATCAAATATACATAGGATGAGTAGCAAACAAAACAAAAAGATCTAAAATATGACATCAAAAAGAATGAGGAGGCAATAGTAAAAACAGTATTTTTAGAAGGCCTTGAACTGCCTATCAGCTTAAAATAGACTGCTATATAGACTGATATCTATGGTAACAACAAACCAAATATACAAAAGATATACAAAAAAAAATAAAGAGATAGAAATCGAAATATAACATTAAAGAAAACTAGCAAACCACAAGGGAAGAAACCAAGAAAAGAAGTGAGGAACAGAGAAGTACAAAACAACCAAAAAATAATTAACAAGATGGAAATAAGTACATGCTTATCAATAATTACTTAAATATAAATGAATTAAATGATCTGATAAAAAGATACAGGGTGGCTAAATGAATTAAAGAACAAAACCCATTAGTATACTTACTGCCTATAAGAGATTCACCTCAGTTTGAAACACACACAGAGAATGAAAAGAGAAGAGACAGGGAAAAAAGCTGGGGTAGCAATACCCATATGAGAGAAAATAGACTTTAAAACAAAGACTGTAAAAAAAAAAAAAGGACAAAGAAGGCATAACATGAGGATAAAGGGGTCAATACAAGAAGAGGATATAAAATTGTAAACATTTACACACCCAACATAGGAGCACCTAAATATATTGAGACTTCAGGTCAAGATGAAGGCATAGGTAAACATGGCTTGCCTTCTCACACAACCAGAGTAAAAATTAATTATAACTACACTACAAAACAACTATCACCCAGAATCTCAGGAAAATCGAGGTGTATGGAAATCAGACAGGCAAGGAATTAAAGAAATCAGACTCTTTCAGACCAGTAGGAGAGGCAGAGACATGTAACAGGCAGTTCCACACCCACATGTGGTAGATAGAAAGCAGGAGGGATATCTCAGGAACAAGGGAACCCAGCCTCACACCAGGCCCCCAGGCCTAGGGTTCCAGTGCCAGGAAGACAAATCCACGTAACTTCTGGTGGGGATTTGTCTTCCTCCCAGACAAAACTCCAGAGGCCAGGCAGGGGCAATTGTTTCTTTTCTGAGCCCTCCCCCACACAAAGCCACAGAGCAGTGACACCATATCTGAGATGTCATCAACATGGTTCTCACAGGTGGCTCTGCCCAACAGTTTACAGAACATTTCATTCAAAAATTGAAGAATACATTCTTTTCAAGTGCCTTTGGACCATTTTCCAGAATAGATCACATTTTAGGCCACAAATCAAGTCTCAATAAATTCAAGACTGATATCATCTCAAGTATATTTTCTAACCATAATGGTATGAAGCTAGAAATCAACTACAAGAGAAATGGAAAAAAAAAAAAAAAAAACCCAAAACACAAACATGTGGAGACAAAGCATATGTTCCTCAACAGCCAAACATTAAAAGAAAAAATTAAAGAGGAAATTAAAAAATCTTGCGACAAATGAAAATAGAAATGAAACTCTCCCAAATCTATGGGATGCAGCAAAATCAGTTCTAAGAAGGAAGTTCACAGACATTCAGGCATACCTCAAGGAACAAGAAAAATCCCAACAGACAATCTAAACTTACATCTAAGGAAGTAGAAAAAGAACAAACAAAACCCAAAGTTAGTAGATGGAATAAAACAATAAAGATCAGAATAGAAATCGATAAAATTAGGGAATAGAAAAGATCAATGAAACTAAGAGCTGGTCTTTTAAAAAGATAAATAAAAATGATATATCTATAGCTAAACTCATAAAGAAAAAAAGGGAGAGGGTCCAAATAAATAAACTCGTAAGTGAAAGTGAAGTTACAAATGACAAAACAAAAACAGAAATACAAAGAATCATTAAAGAATACCATGATCAATTATACATCAACAAGCTGGATAACCTAGAAGAAATGTATAAACTTCTAAAAATGTAGAAACTTCTAAGACTGAACCCAGTAATAAAAAAATAACTCCCAAAAAGCATCCAGGTCCTGCATGGTTTCACAGGTGAATTCTTCCAAACATTTAAAGCGGAGTTAATACCTATCTTTCTCAAACTATTCTAAAAAATTTCTAGAGGAAGGAATGCTTCCAAACTAATACTAGAAGACCAGCATTATCCTGATACTAAAACCAGAAAAGGACTCTACAATAAAGGAAAATTATAAGCAATTTTCCTTATAAACACAGATGCAAACATTCTCAACAAAACCAAATACTAGATAAATATATCCAACCATACGTTAAAAGGATCATACACCATGCTCAAGTGAGATTCACTCTGGGGATGCAAAGGTGGATCAGTATCTGCAAAACAATATTATACATCATATAAACAAAACCAAAAATAAAAATCGTATGATCCTCTCAACAGAGACCAAAAAAAATCTGACAAAATTCCAATATCCCTTTATGATGAAAACTCTCAACAAAGTGGATATAGAGGAAACATGACATAATAAACTCTATATATGACAAATCCACAGCTAACATCATAATTCTACATTGGTATATTGAAATATTTTCTCCTAAGATTATTAAAAGGACAAGATGCCCATTCTCAGCACTTTTATACAACATAGTTGTTGGAAGTCATAGCCACAGCAATCAGACAAGACATACAAACAAAAGGCATTCTAATAGGAGAGAAAGTAAAACTATCACCATTTGCAGATGACATGATACTATATACATAAAACCCTGAAGACTGCACAGGCAAAATTTAAAACTAATAAATAAATTCATTAAAGGTGAAGGATACAAATAGGTCATGTTGGAAAAACTAGATAGGTATGTGAAAAAAAAGTGAATCTGGGCCACTTTCTTATAGCATACATTAAAATAGTCGAAGTGTATTAAAGACTTAAATGTTAAGACCTGAAACCATAAGCTCCTAAAAGAAAACATAGACAGTAAACACTTTGACCTCATTCTCAGCAATATTTTTTTGGATATGCCTCCCTGGGCAAGGGCAATAAAAGCAAAAATAAAGAAACAGGACTACATCAAACTAGAAGCAGCAAAGGAAACCATCAACAAAATGAAGAGAACTTAATAAATGGAAAAGGATATTTGCAATGACATTATCTGATTGGGGGTAATATCCAAAATATATAAAGAACTCATACAATTCAACACACACAAAAAAGCCAAACAATTCAATTAAAAAATGGGTAGATCACCTGAATAGAAATTTCTACAAAACAGACATAGAGATGGTACACAGACATATGAAAAGATGCTCAACATCACTCACAATCAGGGAAATGCTAATCAAAACCATGCATCACCTCACACCTGTCAGAATGGCCATTATCAAAAAGTCAACAACAAATGTTGGTGAGAATGTGGAGAAAATGGAAGCCTCAGGCACTTTTGGTGGGGGTGTAAAATGGTAAACAGTATGGAGGTTCCTCAAAAAATTAAAAACAGAGCTATTATATAATCCAGTAATTCCACTTCTGGGTAATATCTGAAGAAAACAAAAACTAAAACATAAAATAGGACATATATATATACCTCCACGTTCACTGCAGCATCATTTATGATAGCCAAGATATGGAAGAAACCTAGATGCATACTGATAGATGAATGGATCAAGATGTGCTATTTATGCACAATGGAATATTATTCAGCAATAACAAATGTAATATTGACATTTGTGACAATATGGAAAAACTTAAAGGGTATTATGCCAAGTGAAATAAGTCAAAGAAAGACAAATAACATATGACTTCAGTTATATGTAAAATATAAAAAAATCAAAACAAACCAACCAGCAACAGACTCATATATACAAAGAATAAACTGATGTTTGCCAGAGGGAGGGACAGAGAGAGATGTGAAAATAAGGTGAAAGGGAGTAACAAGCACAAACTTGTAGTTAAATCACAGGGATGTAACATATAGCACAGGAAAGAGTCAACACTCTCACAATAACTTGGTATGATGACAGATAATTACTAGACTTATTGTGGTGATCACATGGTAAGGTATATACAGGTAGAAACACTATGTTGAACACCTGAAACAAATGTAATATTGTATGTCAACTATAATTTTAAAAAAGAGAACAAAGTTTCGAATTTAAAAGTCCCCCTTTTTGAAAGTTTTCACAAATAAGATTCTTCTTCAACAAGTAACTTGAAAATACAACATTGTATGAGAATTTAAATAAATGCTATTGTGATTATGTGTAAGAAGATTAACTAGATGCAGGCTTCTAAGGATTAGATGGTACCTGTGGGCTTTTATCTTTGAAAAATACAAATCTACAATATTTTGGATGTGATTGGGGTGGGCATTAAGAGCCCCTGCTTCATAGAATGTTTACTAGTACTGCCTTGATGGGTTAGATACACATGTACATGGAGATATTTGCTCATGGCTGTGAATGACAGCTTTTGGAATAGAAAATAGTCTGCAAACTGTAAGAACAAAAAAAATGAAGACAAAATGAGTTTTTCCAATTTAACTGGCTTAAGGTCACTTGGTTCTTTTTTCCAAGGCTCCTTATGAACCTATCTTCGTAAGTAGTTAACGAAGGAGTCCTGGTCCAATACAAGAGGAATGTTTAAAAAAAAAAGAAGAAAAAACACATACATGTACCCTATCAAATATTTTTTCATAGATAAGAGAAACTTCTTCACTTATCCCATCAACAGAGCAGCTAGATGACCCTACCAATATGAGGCAGACCAATTTACTCCTTAGCTCAAAACCCTCCAATGGTTTTCATCTCACTTAGAATAAAAGCCAAAGTCTTTACAATGATCTATAAAACCCTATGTTATTGGGCTAACTTATGTATCTGATTTCGTTGTGCATGATACTCCCATTATTTGCTCTGCTGTAGTGACACTGCTTCCTGCTATTCTTTGAACATCTCAGGTATCCACTTGATTCAGCTACCTAAAACACTCTTCCAGCAGATTGACACGTGACTTGTTTTCTCCATTTTCTCAGACCTTTACTTAAGTGTCATTTTCTTTATAAGGCCTTTCTGAACTACTTTATATAAAATGACATCATCATCTTAGCCTTAATATTTCCTAGATTCTTCCCTGTTTAACTTTTTCTTGATATTTATCACTATTAACATGTTATGATTTTCTGACTCCCCCTTAGAAATGTGAGCTTCATAATGCAGGACTTTAAAAAAAAAAAAAATCTATCATCTAAATTCAACTACTATATCCCTTGTTCAGAATAGTCCTGGTACACTGCACATACTCAATAAATATTTGCAACTAGAGATATGAATAAATGTAGAAATTTGTCCAGTTTACAAAGCCAATATGTAATGTAGCTGGCAATGAACAGGAGGCACAACTATCTTAATGTTGAAGTCCACAGTCTTTGTTATATCTCTGAAGTATATAGGACACAGGAAATAGGTAACTCAGATTACTATAAAAAGAGATCTTAAAAGAACAAATTAAAACTATTACTGGCTTTAACTCATTCCACTGTCATTGGAAATACGCGTATATGCATTTCCATACATATACATATCCCATAACATATATGCATATAAAAAATACTTTATATTTTTAAATACCTAAGTAACATCAAAATAAAAAACATCCTGTTTTTAACAACAGATATCATTAAAATCTGCAGTTTAATTTCCATGATTCCCTCTCCTCTTTTTTCTTAGAAAAGTATGAAAATATTTTAGTTATAAAAACATAAAACCTGTTCTCTTACTTTTAGATTGCTGCTTTCTGGGTTTATATAACAGTGATTTTTAGAAAATCTAGAAATAATAAAATTCCATGAGGAATGATGATTATATAAAATACCACACTAAAAACATTTTTTTAATTGAGAAAAAATAATACATTTTCTTTCTATACTCATGAATCTAGTCCTAATGTACAGATTTTTTGCAAGGTTTTAGTTGTTTTATATAATTTTTTTGGAGGAATTACCACATTCAAAGTAATCAACTGAACATATCAATACTGGCTCATGTTGTTTAGTTATCTAGTACAAAATTATATGCTAAAGCATCAAATAAAGAGGAAATCAATGTGTCTGGTGTATGCAGAAGTAATTTTATTTGTACAAATTACCTGATCAAGAGGGACATGATTCACCAGGCCACTGACAACTGTTCTTGGGACTGCTTCTCCAACATCTACTTCTTCTACATACAAAGAATCTGCATCGGGATGTTTTTTAGCAGTCATGATACAACCAATTCGAAGATCCAGACGGGAAACATCTATTGGCTTAGAATCAGCACTTCCTGCTATTGATTGTTTGTTTTTCTCCTTTTTCTCTCCTATAAATAAATAAATAAACAAACAAACAAATAAATAAAATTCTAAATGGGTAAACATCATAAGCAAAACAAATATACGAAAAACTCCTTAGTGCTGATACTGATGAACTTAGAGGGAAAAAAAAGTTATCTCCTATCTTCACTTAAATAACAAACGAAAGAATTATTTATTGAAGTCATAGCATCTTAAACCCTGTTTCAGCTATTTCTCTGTTGACTAACTATCTTTATCTCTAGTTAAAGACGTGGACAAAAGGTTGGTGAATTATAGCTCATGGGCCAAATCCAGCACACTGTTTCTGACAAAGTTTTGTTAGAATACAACCATTTGTTCATTTACATATTGCCTATGGCTGTTTTTATACTCCTGCAGAGCTGAATAGTTGTCACAGAGCCTTTTGGCCTATAAAGCCTACATACCTACAAAATAGCCCTTAATGAAAAAGTTTACATTTCCCTGAAACAGAACTGTAAAAATCCATTATAGTGTTTACTGTGACTTTTTAGAAAGTGAAAAAGCCTATATTTAGAAAGGATGCCACACTCCGTAGCTAACTAATGGAATAAACAACAATCAAATATAATTTCACTGATAAAATGTTTCTCTCATCAGTTAAACACACTGATCAGTGTATAATGAATTTCTCCACTTCCTATATTTCCCTGAAAACTTATTAGGGTTTTAGGTTTATCCACAGCAACTAAATGAACAGGTGAAAATATTTTACTCTGATTATATTTTTAAAATCCTACTTGTATTCATATGCTGATAATCTAACTCTTATTAGTGTATGATTTCTTTAGCCACTGAGTCAAAATGCAACCTGTAAAGTGTTCATATTCTTTATGTTTAATATCTGTGGCAGAAAAAGAAAAGTAAAAAAAACTAAAAACTTATTTACCTTCAAATCACTCTATTGTGGTTTAAAGCACTTCCTTTCAACTATACCTTTGATTAATCTTTGAACAAATATTTATGGAGATCTAAGGCACGAGAAAGAACTATTAAGATGAGCAGGCCATGCTATCAAGGCACTGAAAATCTCTTTTATGAAAAATAGATGTTTTAATGAATATGTGATAAACATTACATACACAAGGAAATACAGAAGCAGAAAAGAATAATTTTGCCTGGAGTGGGAAAAGGAGATTTTGTGTAAATGGCATTCATAATTTATACAAAAATAGTTTACAAAAGAGGAGACAGAGCTAGTTCAAAATAATTAACAGTTTTTAATCTTATTAGCAAATTATTAAAAATACCACTTTACATGTAGCAGATTAGCAAAGGTATTTTTAACGGCACAAACCCAAATGTTATATATATATATATATATATATATATATATATATATAACCAAAAGAAAATATACCAAAAACCTAAATAGTTTTCTTTGAGTGATAATTACTTTGTAACACTGCATTAATAACAGTATACTTACATCCACATGCATTTTTTCACTTCATATTCTAAAATTTGAAATACTGCCTTTATCAGGAACCCATTCTCCAGATGTGATTACAAATATTAAAATCTATACCAAGCACTTTGTTAGTCGTCATAAGGGATTTTAGAAATATTTCACTGACATGCGTGATGCTTACACGCAGCAGTCTAGAAAGATTGTATGGGCACCACAGCACTTTCCTATGCAGAATTTTGCAATTTGGCAATTGTAGCAGCCAAACACCTATGGAACAACTCTCTGTTCCATCACTGTTCAGTATGGTGCCTGCCAAGCTTATATGTTATTTACATTTAAATTTAAAGTTATTGAAAGTTCACCCCTTTAGTTACAGTAGATACATTTCAAATGTTCAACAGCTATATGCAGCTACTGCATTGGGTAATACAGCTATACCACATTTCCATCACACAAAGTTCCATTGGACAGAGGTCTTCTAGACCTAAAGCTTCAGTTGGTTGTGCTGCCTCCACCCACAAAAGAGGACTTTGTTGTCTAATTGGACTACAAGACTGATGGGTCCTGCAGTCAAGAATGAACCATACACCTTTGAGTACGGACTTCACCAAACTTAGGACAGGCTGTGTAATTGTTTTATGCCTACTTCTTCATAAAGTTTATAAAGTGGAAGAATTAGAGTGACTTGCCCAGTCTGACTTGATTTCACTGACCATACCACCCAGTGATGAACTTATGTAGAAGAAGATGTACAGCCCCTATCTATTTCTAACTAATAGAGGCTGCTTATGTTTCTCACAAGGAATTAACAAGTGTTAGATGCTAAATTAGCTTAGGTGAGTTCACAAAGCTTTCCGCCATTCTATATTTTCCAAAAATTTTTTTAAAGATTTTATCTGTTTTTATTTTAGACAGAGGGGAAGGAAGGGAGTAAGAGAGGGAGAGAAACATCCTAGTGTGGTTGCCTCTCACACCCCCCTACTGGGGACCTGGCCCATAACCCCCAGGCATAAGCCCTGACTGGGAATCAAACCAGTGCTACTTTGGCTCTCAAGCTGGCGCTCAATCCACTGAGCCCCACCAGCCAGGGCAGTATTTTCCAAAAAATTTTAAATGAGTGTAAGTAGTATGATAGGTAATCATAAAAATTACAAAAGCACTTTTTTTAAATTATTTTTTGTAAATACATTTGTCTCTGCCTTCCCCTCCCCACTCTCCCTCCCTCAGTCCTTCCCCACTTTGGCTTTGTCCATGAGTCCTTGCTATATGTTCCTTGACTTTCCCCTTCTCTTCCTTTCCCACCTCCCCCTGCCCCCCGCCCACCCTTCCCTCTTGTCTCTGTTGGTTTCTTTTTTCTTTCAGTGTTCCTGGTCTTATTTTCCTTGCATCTTAGTTTTGTTGGTTATGTTCCATTTATAGGTAAGATCATATGGTATTTGTCTTCGCCCCCTGGCTTATTTCGCTTAGCATGCTCTCTAGTTCCATCCATGCTGTCGCGAAATGTAGTAGTTCTTTTTTTTTCTTTCTGCTGCATAGTATTCCATTGTGTAAATGTACCATAATTTTTTGATCCAATCGTCTACTAATGGGCATTTAGGGTGCTTCCAACACTTGGCTCTTGTCAATTGTGCTGCTGTGAACATTGGGGTGCATAGGTTCTTTTGAATAGGCATTTTGGGATTCTTAGGGTACAGTCCCAGCAGGGGAATCACTGGATCAAAAGGCAGTTCCATTTTCAGCTTTTTGAGGAAATTCCACACTGCTTTCCACAGTGGCTGCACCAGTCTGCATTCCCACCAACAGTGTACTAGGGTTCCCTTTTGTCCACAGCCTCACCAGCACCTGTTGTTTGTAGACCTGTTTGTGATGGCCATTCTGACCGGTGTGAGGTGGTATCTCATTGTGGTTTTGATCTGCATTTCTCTGATGGCTAGTGATGCTGAGCATCCTTTCAAATGCCTCTGGGCCCTCTGTATCTCCTCCTTGGAAAGGCGTCTGCCCAGGTCTTTTGCCCATTTTTTGATTGGGTCATTTGTCTTCTTGGAGTGGAGTTGAGTGAGTTCTTTATATATCTTGGAGATCAAACCTCTACCTGATGTATCATTGGCAAGTATATTTTCCCATAGGGTTGGCTCCTTTTTCATTTTGCTGATGTTTTCTTTAGCTGTGCAGAAGCTTCTTATTTTGATGAGGTCCCACTTGTTTATGGAATCACAATACCGGACATCAAATTATATTACAAAGCCACTATACTCAAAACAATCTGGTACTGGCACAAGAACAGACCCATAGACCAGTGGAACAGAATAGAAAGCCCAGAAATAAGCCCAGGTCTATATGGGCAACTGATATTTGACAAAGCGGGCAGAAGCATAAAATGGAATAATAACAGCCTCTTCAACAAATGCTGTTGGGGGAGCTGGACGGCTACATGCAAACAATTGAAATTGGATCATCAGCTGACACCATACACAAAAATAAACTCAAGATGAATAAAAGACTTAAATATAAGTCGCAACACCATCAAAGTCCTAGAGGAGAACATTGGCAGGAAACTCAGATATCCCACACAGTAATTTTTTCACCGATATGTCTCCTAAAACAAAAGGACTTTTTAAGACAAACTTGGGAAAAATGAAATCTAGAAAGTAGTGAAGCAGATAGGTTTAAAAAAAGCCATAGTTATGATTAGAAATAGAGCTTTAGCAGCAAGGTAAAATAAAGTAGAAAAGTTTATTTAAAACTAAAAATAAACTAGAAAAGATAAGGCTTTAGCATTAATTCAATTGAGATATTGATCATGAGAACTTAAACTAAGGTAGCACCTAACATAATCAAGGTACAGGGCAATGTGTTTTGATGGTAGGAAGTATAGGCTTTGGTGCACGATCAGATATGAAAATCGAGGGAGCGGGACATGTTAAGCTTGAATGTAAGATTTCTAGGCTGGCTGGCTAAGTATATGGTGATATATTTTCTACTTCAGTTCTTATGGGTTCCTAAAACTTTAACATCCCTATGCCTTAGTTCAGACATTCTTAACTTGACTGGAATATCCTTTTCCAAACTTCACAACTGTTCCTAAGCTAACTTTCTATCTGTGACTTTTCTGAAATGATCCCCCCAAATATACACAATAATTCAGTCACACCAAACTGCATGTGAGTTACTATGCTAAATCTCTACATTGTGTTTTAAGTTATGCTGGTCCCTGTACCTCAAATGACACACTCTTACCATGTCAACCTTGTCTACCATCACACATCCTTCAGGGTCCAGCTTCTGTGTTCCAGTATCATATTGTTCCTAATTTTATTCTCAATCATAAAAGTTTAAACATTCTACTTCTAACAGAACTTTCTACTTCTAACTAATCTATCAAAAATTACTGAGATCTGATAAATCAGTTAAGAACCAAATAAGCTTAAAGTAAAATACCTTTCTTTTCAAGTTTCTCTTTCACCTTCTTTTCTTCTCCTCCTCCTCCTTTTACCTGTTCTTTGGCACCAGAAGATATGGTTGTGATTGGTATAGACTGTATCACATTTTCAGAATTAGCTTGCAGTGAAGTACCAGATGGAAATGGTATTTGTTTCACTAATACAGAAAATGAAATAGGTAATGTCGTTTATATTAAACCAACAAACAAGATGAACACCATGAAATATGATTAAAAGAGAAATTCACTGTATATGATGATCAAGTCTCTACTGTCTGACATTGCAAAAAAAAAAAACCTGCCAAGAAATTAAGTACATTTTAAACATGGTAAAATAAACATGTCCCTACTTTAATCACTGATGACTAAACTGAGAAAATTATAGATAACAGTAATAGCTAATATTTATTATGGATTCCTAGGCACTTTTCAAAATGCTTTACATGAACCAACTCATATAATTTTCATAAATAGTTTAAGCAGTAAATTCTATTCATATCCCCATTAACAGATAATCATACTGAGTCACACCTAAGACAAAAATCACACTCACAATGGGTAGGAAAACAAGATTTATACACAGGTAGCCTGTCTCCAGAGATTATACTCTTATGGTTTGGGGCAAGTTAACATATTTTTCATGCAGGTTTTCCTTTACACTGAACAATCACCCAGGAAGGTATATTAATAATAATTATTTCTGTATCACAGAATTAATGGAGAGACAGTATTACTCGTTCATAGTTCTATTTCAAAGAACAACTTTTTCCAGAAGCAAAAACAATTCCTTAAGCAATAGTAAAAACATTCTCCTAGCCTAGTGACTACAGAAAAATGCAGTCCTTTGAGGGATTTTGATGTGGCTGTTTCTGGTCAATATTCAGACCACTTTTCTGAGGTACTGTTTTTTAATTTCGTGCAGGTTATTGCTTCTTTTAGTAATATGAAGTTCCATCTATCCCTGTTTTATGTTTTATCATTATACAGAATTTAATACGTCAAATCAAACTGTTGATTTCTTTTAGCATTTCAATAAGACTAGAGTTGAAAAATTTAACATTTCAGGGCAATCTCCCAGAACTGGGAGAAATAAAAAGCAGTTTTATATTGCTAATATTTCAACTGCTTACCTGTATTCAAAATCTCCTGGTCTTGAAAAACATCAACCAGCTTTAAATTTTCAATTGACAAACAATATTCCCTCTAGTTGATAGTTTTAAGCAACCCTATTAATTTTTCCTCACTTTTATTTAGCTCACTAAGGGTAGAGTTTATACTACACTATTTGAAATAATTCAGTGATGGAATAATGGTCAAAAGAAAGTATACTTGGACCTTCTTAACGTACCTAGAAAGGATTTTCTATAATACAATCAAATGGCTTTCTGCATGACACTTTGCAACTGTAATACAACTATTATTATTAGTGATTTACGATAATGTAAATATACCTAGGTCCCTTTAAAATAGCTCAATAAAATTTTACATTTTATTTACAATGTAATAGTTAAAATGATAATTATCTACTGACTTGGCAAATTTAAAAAATGTGTGATTTCATACAAATTATATTTTTAAGTTTCCATTTCCTCATATACAAAACAAGGGTATTTGTGTATACATAATTTTAAGGATAAAATACATAATTTATGTGAAACACTTGGTAACACAGTACCTATAATATAGTAAAACTTAATAAATGCTAACTAATATTATGGCTTATTTTCAAAAACTATTCAACAGGGAAGAGTGATGATTAAGTTGAAGCATAGTACAGAGATTAAAAGCACAGGTTTTGAATCCCAGCTTTGCTTTTTTTTTAACATTTTTCACATAATCTTATGCAAGACCATGGGCCTTTTCTATATCTCCATTTTCCTTATACACAAGAAGGGATGCTACGAGTATAAGATGAGAAACCAAGGATACCTAAATTAAAAAATAATTTAATTTTTTAAATTATCATTAATTTAATTTAATGATAAAAGAAATAATTATTACTATGATAAATAAAGAATGTGTGATTTGTATATTTAATCACCTCCATTTTTAATTTCTGCCTGAATTAGCTCTTGCTTCAACTCTTCAATTTCTTTCTTCAGTTTAGCATTTTCAACTCGAAGTTTCTTCTCTTCTCTCAAAGTTGCCTGCAAAACTAAGATCAAGAAAATCCAGTTAAGTATAGCTGTGTTTTCTAAAAGGTTTCTTATGAACACTACTTGAAAAGAGCATAGCCAGGATAAACATAGCTAGGATAATACTAATAACCAAACGTTTGGCCAGTTCCTTTACATCAGAGTTTAGTATTATTAAAACAACATGATATTTAAAAGGGAGAAAATCTGAAATAATAGAACAGAAAAGCCTTTGTTTATGAATCATTTTAGCTTCTGTACAGATGCTTTCGCCAACTTAAGAATCTGTCTCAAAGTGTCAATAACAGGTAAAACTGTAAGAAAGAGAGATGTATTAAATGTATTAAATTATTTATTTCTTTAAAAGTATAAGATCTGCCCGGACAGGTGCGGCTCAGTGGATTGAGTGTTGGCCTGCAAACCAAAAGGTCTTAGGTTCGATTCCCAGTGAGGGCACATGCCTGGGTTGCCAGCCAGGTCCCCAGTAGGGGGAGCGCGAGAGGCAACCACACACAGATGTTTCTCTCCCTTTTTCCCTCCTTTCCCCCTCTCAAAAATATATAGATAAAATATGTTTTAAAAAAGTGTGAGATCTAATAATGATACCAAGCAATAAAAAAGTAATCTCATTTTTAAAGTCATAACCTATAAAAGTAGCTGGATAATCTTTTATTTCGAATGTCCCAAAGCTGAACTGGGCAAGTACTGAATGAGTGAAATAAACTCAAAGATTTGCTTATGAAATAATATGTATGTAAAAGGTGAGCAACAGAATATATAAAAATATGAAAGAAAAATAATGATTCTCAATTGGGCTGATAGGACGCACTAAGTGAGATTCTGAAGACCTGAGGGGTATTTTTTGGTTGTCCCAAGTAATGGGAGTCATTACTGGCATTCACTGGGCTGTGGCCAGTGAATGCCAGATGTCCTGACATACACTAGATAAAGATTTTGGAGTTTTCATTACAACATTAATATTGGCTATTGAAAAATAAAATATATTTAAAACAAAACAAAAATCAACCTAAATCCTAAAAGCGGAAATTCAGATTTGATATTTTTATATACACAATAGCAATGTCTAAGTAAAACTTAAAAGTACTGGAAAAGAATTAAAACTCATTTCTTAAAATGCCTTACTGGAGAGTAATATAAAAGAATATATATTTTTTTCTACACAAGGTTAGAGGAGATATTTCAGTTAATATTTGATTTCACCCAATTTTCTTCATTTTTAATCTCTAATGCGATATACCCAATTCTTTAAACGCTGTTCTTCCCTTAGCAGTCTGAAAATAATGCATTGGTTTTTTCCTACAAATCACACATTCACTATATATGAATTCTAATTTCTCTTAATCCTATACTGATATTTCACTAAAAAATAAAATATTAAAGGAATCTAAAAGTAATCATCAATTTAAAGTAGTAATTTATGTTGTAAGCATTTTTTGGTCAATATATGAATTCATTTTAAGTATCTCCTTAGAAAATTTAAATTTTTCTTACTTGCTTTTTCCTTAAGAAGAGCAACTTGCTGCTTAAGATACTCAATAATTTGATCTGCCTCTGCACCTTTCTGTTCCAGTCTCTTCAGAACAGCATCATTGGTTGCCATTTTTGCCAAGAAACGGCAGAAAATCCTAAGTGAAAAAATAAAAGTGATAAATTATACTGTAGCTGTGTAAACTTCAATAACTTCCTTAATACCTCTGAGTGTGTCTTCTCATTTGTAAACAGATCCTTTCATTCAGGGTCCAGCACAAATAACGCCCCTTTTTTATTACAAAATCATAAGCATGTGATTCTGTAACATAACATCACACTCAAGAACATATGACACTTTAGATGAAATGTTCAAATTGCTGTCCATCTCATACAAGACATTCACGTACCCTACCAACCACACTCAAGCAGGCATTACAGGTACCATGTATCTCAGAATAGGGCAAAATGAGATCCCATAGAAATGTAGTGTAGATAGAGGGGCCCCCAAAGTCCCCACAGCCTTTGATTGGGGGAAGTGGGGAGCCTTGATACTGGCTTAAGATATTCTCCATAATGAAGGCAACATAAGAGCTGTGCTACTGCCTCAAGGCAAGGTGGGCATGCATGACTTTTAGGATATATTCTGACTGATAATATAGCCAGGGAGACTGCCTGCCTGGATCACTGAGTCATTCTTGCCCAGACTGGGGAGAGCAACAGAATCAATGTAAACAATACCAGAGAACTGGCAAATGTAGCTCATTGTGGGAGGAGTTGGAGATGCAGTCACACAGGAGGCTCCAGGTCAGGACTTAAACTAAGGGGCAGGCAGCCATGAGGGAATTCAGCCATGCCGTTTGAAAGAGTGTAGAAGAACCACAATGGAGGAGTGAAGAACCATGCTGCCAGTAATGAAATAGCAGCTATGTGGTTTGTAGGGATTATTTGGCCATGCGGGCTGGTATAATAAGGGAAGGAATGGCATGTTGCCGCTCTGATCGTGCCTGCTCTATCAGACTCTGAAGCCATCAAGGATCCTGCCTTGCAAGATGATGGCCACTGCCTTGCAAACCCAGACTCTACCTGGACACTTGGGACTTATGTGTTTCCTAGACTTCACCACGAGCCAGTGTTTCACAGCACATGTGTCCCTGCACTATTATACAGAGGCTGATGACCACATACCCCAGATCCTGAAGGAGAGAGCTGCTATGAGACTGTGCAGCCAGCTTAAGATGAGGAAATGCGGAACTAACGGGGCTTGCTTTTGGCTCATAGCCCTTTCGGGAACAAGGGAACATAGGAAAAAAGGGCTCCAGGATGAAATGCTCCCAGCTCCCCCAACATTGGGATATTATAAATAAAAACCTGTTCCTTCCAATATTGATTGTTGGGTCATTCACCAAGGCACACGTGGAAGAGCCCCCATCTGCTTGGTTACAACAAGAGTAATGTTCATACTTAACATTTTTGCCACATAGCTACTATATGTAAGGCACAGAGCAAAGTTTTGGGAACACAAAAGACAGGATATATATATACACAATGCCCACCTTTGAACTCACAATATAGTGGGTTACCTATGTTATGGTAATTTCTGGATCAATAGGTATATTTTTTTCTTAAGGGTTAAGAACACAACAAATAATAATAAGTTATAGAGATGGGTATTAAAGTGTACTTAATTTGTCTAAGCTGCAAGTTAATTTTTGGAAGACTGCACATAGCGGTGATAAATATTAATATATTTACATTAATTCTAAATTTTGTGTTCATAACAGTGTGTAAAATATATCTAAGGATTTCTGTCCAGGGGACTACAATAAGTCAATAGTCAATTGAAAATCTTTACCCACTTTTCCCTCTAAATAAATACTGTCATCATAACAGTGAAAGTGCTAAAGATAACAGATTTGAGATTATTTAAACAAATGGTATACAAAGAACACTCGAAGGCGTATAGCAGATTTCAGTTTGAATGACTTGTGAAAGTCTTCTAAAAATTGGTACATAACGGTTCTCAACTTTAGCTCAGAAGGCAAAGCAATCCAGGATAAACCATACATACCAATTTGCCAAAGGCACACAACTGGCCAAGAATACCAGACAAAAATTGTTTTATGGGGATGATGCGTACTGTTCTGGTTTAAGGAAAGGAAAAAAATTAACATTCACTGAACGCTTTCTGCTCATTTTGCTATGAACCTAAAACTGCTCTAAAAAATAAAGTCTATTAAAAAAAAAGTTCACCAAACCATAAACTTAAGACCATGTGAATCTGAATTTTGAGAATGCTCTGAATTCTAATTACTAATGAATAAAGTCCTCACTTGGTTATGCAATAATTAATAATTTTCCAAGTTTCCATTAAGTCATTACGCTATATATCATATAGTAATATATTAGACTACTTTGAAATGTTTTAGTGCCACAATATCAGTAATGCTATTACAAAAGAAGTCTCAATAGAACAGTAAATATCTTAGCGCAGTCATTTCTCTGGCAGTAAGCACACTTTTGTGGCAAAATAAAACTTAGGAATGACTATAAAATACACTAGCTGCTAACCACTGTCTACTTTTTCTCTCTTCCTAGATAGCTGGTTATCTTAGCAGTATTATTTATGATTCCAGTATTAAAATAATTTGTGTGAGATATTTTGGATTAGATTCTAGTCAAATTAATGTGTTGACAAAACTTTTGTCAAATGGCTAAGATCTATTGTTTTTAAAATTAGAAGCTCTGTAAACATTTTTCTAGTACTTGTTGTCATTTAGATTTTTCAAAAATATAAGTAGGATCCATAAGATTATGCCAATATTTTCTAGTAATAAGAAGTTAATGATCACTAGCCCTAGCAGAAGAGTATAGTTTTTTTTTAAAAGAATGTTTACAGACAACAGATCGTGATTGAACCACATACTTAACAAGCTGTGTAACCTTGGTAAAGTTACTTAATTTCTCTATGCTTTATTTTCTTAATTCATAAAATGAGGATACTTAACACCTGATTTCACCTCTACACCCTCGGCATCTCCTTTTAGAGCTCCTCTTCTTGACATGTACTTTTTGTTGATGTTCTACAGGGTTTGTTCCTGATCTCTAGCTTGCTGGGATTACAACCCATTAATACACAGATCAGGGATGCCTTTGTGTTCCAGAGTTAAAAATGTTTGTAACTGAATGCAGATGCCTTTAAGCAAGGCAAAACAGACTTCACCACTCCCTGCTGTCTTCCATTTCCGTTACCTGCCAGGTCCATATAAATAAAGATCATGACCTCAATTTTACCTATAGTCTCTGATTTTGAGCCCTGTGCTGAGTTTACAGGAGACAGAAAATTTAAACATGTTCTTTATACTCACTAAGTTTTCAGACACATGGGGGAAACACAGTAAATTGGGGAATTTTTTTTCTAATGAAGTTATGTTCAGGACAACCCTGCTAGTTTAAAAACAATGTTAAGCTCAGACAAATCTTTCACCTTCAATCCAGTGCTTTTTCCATTATTTTGTGCCAAATGCTCCATAGATATTTTCAATTTTATATTGGGTATTCAATGAATTTCAAAACTTCAAGTTTCTTTAGTCTCCTCACCAGTTTTTTTTTTTTTTAAAGATTGTATTTGCTTTTTTACAGCAAAGGGAAGGGAGGGAAGAGAGGGAGAGAAACATCAATGTGTGAGAGAAACATCCCCAGTTGTCTCTCCCACACACCCCAACAGTGCAACCCTGGCATATGCCCTGACTGGAAATCAGGAATCAAACCAACGATTTGAACTTTCATTTTGCTGGAAGATGCTCAACTCAATCAAGACAGTCAGGGATCCTCACAGCTTTTAATATGCTAATACGCATAGGGTTTCTCACAGGTAACATTTGTAGGCTATTTATTATAAGCTGCCTAAATGCTTTACATATATTACCTATAAATACTGTAATTATCTCCATTATACAGAGAAGAAAACTTGAATTAAAATTAATTTGCCCCAGGTCATGTTGCTAGTTAGTATATGAGAACTGAAACTTAGGTCTGCCTGACTCCAAAGTTACCTCTTTTAATGCCCAAGCTATAATTTCTCTAAAGGGTATAATTAGGAAGCCTTTCTCAATGTACTTAACCACAGAATCCTAACCAAAAAACACCTAATAATATATATTGGAACTAGTATTTACTAAAACTATTTGAGAATGTTGGCTTGGTATGTGCTAAAAGAAAAAGATAATGAGATTAAAATAGATATACTTAGTTAAAGGCACAGTAATTATAAATATAAAATAGAGACACAAAATTTTAAAAAATGAGTATGTTAACTGTATTTGGATAGTGAGAGGACTATTTTTCCTTTTATCAAATTAAAAAAAATGAACATATTTTTATGACAAAAAGATTTGAAAAGTATTATCTAAATTATTCTCCCCTTCACATTTTGTCCTTATAATGTTCATATTTCGTTTTAATTTTAAAACCCATTGTTAGATGCCTCTAATCATAAAAACTTCCTAAGAGCTGAAACTGATTTTACCAATTATGTGAATCTAGACTATGTCTTAATCATTAAAACACATGTATAAAAGACTATTTCTGAAATTCTTATAATTTTTGAATGGCTTTCCTTTACCTCAGCAATCTCCTCTATGACTGTCACTCACCACTATGATTCTAAATTGCAAGTAATTTAAATAACAAATCCCCTGCTCCAGGCTCTCAATGTTATATAGAAACAAATAAGCTATTTTTTAAATGGAAGTTTTAATATAAACAAGTAAGTTATTTTTTTAATGGAAGTTTTAAGTGCAGATTTTAAATTTTACTTCATAGCCCAGGAACTCTAGAGAAATTTGAAATTGCCTTTGTTTCCCAAAACACCTGATTTCACTGTTTCAGAACTGCAATTATGTAAAAATTCATATTCTTCTAAGACAAAGTACAGTATTTCATTAAATCTAAGATGTTCTATTATTTTATATACTATTTATAAAAAGAAAACAGTGCTGATTAACACAATGCTTTCTTATCTTAGTCACACACTATCATTTATTGAACCTCTTTTAAATTTAGCTCTATTTTTACCTTTTATCTCGTTTCCCTGTATTTCTGCATACACGACAACTTTTCATTCTAATGTTAAATCAGCTTTTAAATGATATTTAAA